GACCTCTTCCAATATTTGAGGCACCGCAGCCTCAGCAGGGTTATCCCCACTTTGTGCCATGATGTTTTCCTGGCTGAGGGATTTTCCCTCCCACAGGACCTCACAGAAATGCTCAGCAAATCTGCAAACCTGTTCCTGGGGGTCGGAGATTGGATCACCGTTTTTTCCCCTAATGATGGTAATAGGTGTGGCGCTGCAGGTTACTTTTTTGATGGAGTTAAATAGTGTTTTGTGATCACGGGCCACTGAGGCAGACTCTATCTCCTCAGCAACCCGCGACCACCACCCATCCTTGTAGCGCCTTACAGCTCTCCGAACCTCCGAGCGAAGGCTGCGGTAAACCTCATTCTCTGACGTGGGATGCTGTAGCCGATAAGAGTGGGCCTGTCGCTTTTTCTCAACTAACCTGAACACCTCCTCTGTCAGCCAGGGTTTCTGGGGAGGTCTGGACCGCGTACCCAAAGCAGCCATTGCAGCTGCATGAGTCACAGTCCTAAACCTCGCCCATTTACCCTCGACATCAGGAGGAGTGGGGGACGATGCCAACCCCAGCTGCAAGCGATGATGAAATTCTCGCTTGCAACTTTCATCAGCTAACTGAGACCAGGCCACTTTTGGTTTGAATGGGGTCCTGGGTGTACACCCACCACCGGAGTAGAAGAATGGCAGGCGCAACTTACAGATGACTAGTCGATGGTCAGAGGGCAGATCAGCTCCACGGTAGGTCCTGGTGTCAAGGACATGGGCTCGCATCCGCTGGTCCGTCACTATGTAGTCCAGCAGATGTTCTTGCTTGGACCCGGCATGCATCCATGATGTTGTGTGGATGCGCCAATGCCGGAAGAGCGTGTTGGTAATTACAAGCCCATGGGCTGCACAAAAATCTAGCAGCCTCCTACCGTTGTTGTTGAGCTGATCTGGCCCATGCCTTCCAATCACTCCAGACCAGGTGCCAGCATCATGACCAACTCCGGCATTGAAGTCACCCAACAAGATGACTCTGTCCCGAGTGGCCACTTTAGCCAGCACCTGTCACAGGAGGTCATAGAAGGCATCTGACTCATCGGCATTTCCTGCATCCCTCCACGGATGTTCGTCTTCAGTGGGGGCATAAGTAACCACGACCACCACTCCTCGCCTCCGGTTGATGGGAAGGCGAGCCCAAAGTATCCTGGGGCTTACAGCTTCCCACACCTCACCGCCATGCTCCCACGCCCCCTTCATTCTTTTGTTCAAAAGAAGAGCCACACCCTGTTGTTTGGCAGCCTCCTGCCCCGAGTAGAGGACTGTCCACCCCTCATCGTGGCAGGAGCCAGAACCGGTCCACCGGACCTCCTGAATGCCACAGAGATCCAGGCGGTACCGGTCCAGCTCCCGACAGAGGAGTGGCAGCCTCTCCTCCGCAGTGAGCGTTCGAACATTTCACGTGGCCATCCGTAATGGCTTTTCGTTGTTTCTGGAGGACCCTCACTAACACACACACACTAACACACACACTCACTAACACACACTCACTAACACACACACTCACTAACACACACACTAACGCGCACTAACGCGCACTCACTAACCCGCACCCACTACCGCGCACTAACTATCGCGCACTCACTAACGCGCACTCACTAACGCACACTCACTATCGCACACTCACTAACGCACACTCACTAACACACACTCACTATCGCACACTGACTAACGCACACTCACTATCGCACACTGACTAACGCACACTCACTAACGCACACTCACTATCGCACACTCACTATCGCACACTCACTAACGCACACTCACTAACGCACACTCACTATCGCACACTCACTAACGCACACTCACTATCGCACACTCACTAACGCACACTCACTAACGCACACTGACTAACGCACACTCACTATCGCACACTCACTATCGCACACTCACTAACGCACACTCACTAACGCACACTCACTATCGCACACTCACTAACGCACACTCACTAACGCACACTGACTAACGCACTGTCACTATCGCACACTCACTAACGCACACTCACTATTGCACACTCACTATCGCACACTCACTATCGCACACTCACTAACGCACACTCACTAACGCACACTGACTAACGCACACTCACTAACGCACACTGACTAACGCACACTCACTAACGCACTCTCACTAACGCACACTCACTAACACACACTCACTAACACACACTACCGCACACTGACTAACGCACACTCACTAACGCACACTCACTAACGCACACTGACTAACGCACACTCACTAACGCACACTGACTAACGCACACTCACTAACGCACTCTCACTAACGCACACTGACTAACGCACACTCACTAACGCACACTGACTAACGCACACTCACTAACGCACTCTCACTAACGCACACTCACTAACACACACTCACTAACACACACTCACTAACGCACACTGACTAACGCACACTCACTAACACACACTCACTAACGCACACTCACTATCGCACACTCACTATCGCACACTCACTAACGCACACTCACTAACGCACACTGACTAACGCACACTCACTAACGCACACTGACTAACGCACACTCACTAACGCACTCTCACTAACGCACACTCACTAACACACACTCACTAACGCACACTCACTAACACACACTCACTAACGCACACTCACTAACGCACTCTCACTAACGCACACTGACTAACGCACACTCACTAACGCACTCTCACTAACGCACACTCACTAACACACACTAACACACACTCACTAACACGCACACACACTCACTAACGCACACTCACTAACACACACTCACTAACGCACACTCACTAACGCACTCTCACTAACGCACACTGACTAACGCACACTCACTAACGCACTCTCACTAACGCACACTCACTAACACACAATAACACACACTCACTAACACGCACACACACACTCACTAACACGCACACTCACTAACACGCACACTCACTAACACGCACACTCACTAACACACACTCACTAACACGCACACGCACACTCACTAACGCACACTCACTAACACGCACACTCACTAACACGCACACTCACTAACACGCACACTCACTAACAACAAAAAAAGACAAATATCCCCTGTATAGCCTTAACAGACTGAAGGGGCAAGTGCTGTTAGCGAGCACCTATGAAGTACAGAACGGTACACAAGGGGGTGGGTGGCCAGCACCACGCCCGACCGCCTTTGTTTCCATAGTGGCGATGTTTACGCACCGCACCGGGTACTCATTTGAGGCTGAGTCGACCTAGGGGAGGCCCAGGACCGGTTCAAATAATCGTCACTGGTGTTGGCCGTGAGCGCAGCGCGCTAGCCACTACACTACCGCTCCCCCACACTAACACACTCACTAACACACACTCACTAACAAATGTCACCCGTATAGCCTAAACAGACTGTTGGGGCAAGTGCTGTTAGCGAGCACATATGAAGGCCGGCACGGCACACGAGGGGGTGGGTGGCCAACACCACGCCCGGCCGCCTTTGTCTCCCCAGTGGCGATGTTTACACACCGCACCAGGTACTCATTTGAGGCTGAGTCGACCTAGGGGAGGCCCTGGACCGGTTCAGATAATTGTCACTGGTGGTGGCCGTGAGCAGGAATTGAACCATGGTCCCTAGGTTCGTAGCGCAGCGCGCTAACCGCTACACTACCGCTCCCCACACACACTAACACGCACACTCACTAACACGCACACTCACTAACACACACTCACTAACACACACTCACTAACACACACTCACTAACACACACTCACTAACACACACTCACTCGGAAGCTCGTTCTTCACCAACTTCTCTAATCCAGCGCTCCTTCGTCCATTCCCTCACTCACCACCCTCCTGGAAACATTCCACAAAGCGCCGTCCCTTCTCCTCCTGGTTGCCCGCAGAATATCTTCTTTGGGTGTGGTCCCAAATAACCCCAGCGTCACCACCGTGACACCTGAACGAGGACAAAGATTCCCCATATAGCCTTAACAGACCGTTGGGGCAAGTGCTGTTCGCGAGCACCCATTAAGGCCGACACGGCACACGAGGTGGTGGGTGGCCAGCACCACGGCCGATGGCTGCCGAGTGGCGATGTTTACAAATCGCCACTCGATACTCATTTGAGACCACCTCGGGGAGGCCAAGGACCGATCCAGACAATCGCCACTGCTGTTGGCCGTGGCAGGGAATCGAACTCGGATCGCAGGGTTCGGAGCGCAGCGCGCGAACCGGTGCACCACCGCTCCCCGCGAGAGGAAGACCAAGTGCTGCTGTGCGCCCTGAACAGACTGCTGCTCGCAGAAGCGCCTGCGAAGAAGAGGCCGGAACGATCGACGAGTGCGTGGGTGCCTAGGACCACGCTCGACCGCCTTTGGGGCCGTCCATAAATGACGTCACGCGCCTGGGGGGGGGGGGGTCAGACATTTGTGACGATGTGTGACGAGGGGGGGGGGGTGAGAAATGTGACGTCACATCAAAATGCGCAACTTTAAATAAATATAGACAACACGTTCTACTTAATTAAATAGACTTTTTAATAAATGTTTTCTCCTACAACATCAGAGTGCAGCGCCACATTAAATACGCACTGCAATAACAATAGTTTAAAGCGATTTGAAGCATGTTTCATTTTTGGGGGGGGCAGAGCTTTGTGACGTCATATTTGAGGGTGCGTCTGACTTTATGACGCCGTGTGACGAATGGGGGGGTCAAAAATCGGGTGACGTCATTTATGGACGGCCCCTAATTGTCTCCCTAATAGTGATGCTTATACGCCGCACCAGGCTGAGTTGATCTAGGGGAAGCCCAAGACCGTTTCACATATAATTGTCACTGGTCTTGGCCGTAGGTGGGAATCGAACTCGTGTTGCCAGGTTCGTAGGGCAGCGCGCTAACCGCTTCGCCACCGCTCCCCACGTCCCCACGTCTCCACGTCTCCGTGTACCCGCCCACACCTGCACCCCCCCCCACCACCACATGCTGCACCTGCCTCCCATTCACGTGTTCACTTTAACTCTCCCCGTGCCTCTCGCACTCTCCGTGAAGCTCTCTCCCCTCTATCTCGAGCCGGGTTTCTCTCTCCCTGTGTCTATCTACCCCCACATCTCCCTACCCGTGTCTCGCTCGGAATGGAAGACCTGTCCCCATCAAACGTCTTTGCTCCCGGTGTTTACGTCAGGATAGACCAAGAGAGGTGAGACACGAGGACACCCGGGAGACACGTGGGGTCACTCAGGGAGACACTCGAAGAGACGGGGATGTGCAGGGAGACGCCGAGACACAGGGAGCGGCAGAGATATGGGGAAACATTTACACAGGGACACAGTGAGACAAGGTGATGTAGGTAGACAGGGTGATGTAGGTAGACAGGGTGATGTAGGTAGACGAGGTGGTGTAGGTAGACAGGGTGATGTAGGTAGACAGGGTGATGTAGGTAGACAGGGTGATGTAGGTAGACGAGGTGATGTAGGTAGACAGGGTGATGTCGGTAGACAAGGTGATGTAGGTAGACGAGGTGATGTAGGTAGACAGGGTGATGTAGGTAGACGAGGTGATGTAGGTAGACAGGGTGATGTAGGTAGACAAGGTGATGTAGGTAGACGAGGTGATGTAGGTAGACAGGGTGGTGTAGGTAGACGAGGTGATGTAGGTAGACAGGGTGATGTAGGTAGACAGGGTGATGTAGGTAGACGAGGTGATGTAGGTAGACAAGGTGATGTAGGTAGACGAGGTGGTGTAGGTAGACAGGGTGATGTAGGTAGACGAGGTGGTGTAGGTAGACGAGGTGATGTAGGTAGACGAGGTGATGTAGGTAGACAGGGTGATGTAGGTAGACGAGGTGGTGTAGGTAGACGAGGTGATGTAGGTAGACAGGGTGATGTAGGTAGACAGGGTGATGTAGGTAGACAGGGTGATGTAGGTAGACGAGGTGGTGTAGGTAGACGAGGTGATGTAGGTAGACGAGGTGATGTAGGTAGACGAGGTGATGTAGGTAGACGAGGTGGTGTAGGTAGACGAGGTGACGTGTGAATGGTGTGCGTTTAAATACGGGGAGCGGTGGCGTTCAGGTTAGCGCGCTTCACTACGAATCCGGCGACCCGAGTTAGATTCGACTCAGGGCCAACACCAATGACGAGTAATGTGAGTTCACGGACATGGGCCTCCGCAAGGTCGACTCAGCCATATAAATGAGTAGTGTAGCTGGAACAGTGCATGAACATCTCTGCGGAGACAAAGGCAGCCAGGCTTGGTTCTTGCCACACCCACCCATTTGTGTACCGTCTCAGCCTTAATAGGTGCTCGCTAACATCACCTGCCCCAAGTATATTCAAGCCCATACGGGTACCAATGGGCCCATCCACACTTGGGGCGTTTCCCCCGAGCGAATCTTTGTTCGCGGAATCGAGTTTCGGCTCTCGCCGTGGCCGCGAGGAGAAGCCGCTTTTCCAGTTCTGTGGACGCGGCACGTGCCAGTGACGTCACGGGTGGAATCTGCGGGTCTCCGCGCCTCCGATCACGCGAGGGAGCGGCGTCACTTCAAGTCTTGGCGTCGCGCCACAATGTGGGGGCATTGGAAGCGGCGATGTGTTTCTTAACACGAGACATTTCATCTCGAGTCTACTGATGTGATGAAATGTGGAACACATTTGGTGAAGAACAAGCTTTTCAATGCACACACTTTTTATTTGCACTCTAAAGTACAAAATCAATTACTTTGACCCCAGAATTAATTAAATTTGAAGTTCTGAATAAAAGTGGTGTCCTTTCGATATGTTTAATTTCCTTTATGCAAGCCACCCACTTTTATTCAGTACTTCGAATGTGATTGATTCTGGGGTCAAAGTAATTATATTTTGTACTTTAGAGTGCAAATAAAACTGTGTGCATTGAAACTCGTGTTGTTTGCCTTTTAATGACCTTGCAGAGATGGCAACGAGGGCGTGCCTATGCCAACCTTGCCCACACAATCAATGGAAGCATGCGCATTGCTACTCAACAACAACAGGCTACGTAATGAAGGGTTGACAGCACGCACCACGGCTATTACAATTAGAATGACGATCTTGCCCATTGCGAAGTCGTGAAATGACACTTGGAACAACACGAGCCGCACGGGCGTTCAATGGCCGTATTTGCGATCATTGACGCACCAGACGTGAAGGTGCGACACACAGATTGCAATGCTTTAACAATGCACCCATGTGGACAGCGGTGCATATCGCGAGACCACCATATTCAACGTGCACAGATTTATCACTTTCATTTAAAGCATTTATTTGAACAATAATTAATTATTAGAACATTGTGTCGATCACGATAGGGATAACAGGGCATTTAATTGTGTGTCACCTGCTCGCTCCACTTGAGCACAGTCATGTTGCCCTCAGCGCGTCGCAACGTGCGTGGCAAAGCAAATGTGATGATACTCTTGATTCACATTATAACGATGTCATTGTTTTAGCAATAGTAGTAATTCTTATTGTAACTAGCTGGGGGGGGGGGGGGCGCAACCCGGACCCAAGGGAAGAGGTTGTTCATAACATTACACGTCACACTATCGACTCTATACAGCTCGGCTATAGTACACGCGTGATGTGTCATGTTGTTACATACCCATGCCTATCAACCTATACGGTTAACCCGTATTCTTGTACAGGGAAATTGAGTAAAAACATGTGTGTTGTCTTCCTCCGTCGTCGTGATGGGACTTTGTAGAATGAACGTTGAGATGTATCAGGGGACGGGGTGGCCAATTTGGTCTGACTTGGTCTGTCATAAGGTAGAGAGGGCACTTGCATTGGGTTGACAGCTATACACACCCTCACCGTGTGCTGTATCTGAGCTGTATACAGTACATGGTGAGGGTATTTTGGTAAAACAATGAGTGCCTATCGTCAAAGACAAGTCACGTCGGCGATTACTCGTACAAAGTGAAATCGGAGACACTGGCACGAGGCTCTCCGAGAGCTGCTCTGATTGGACGAGACGTTTTCATCGTCGCTGGGCGCGACTTTTCGAGATTTCAAAGAGGGGGAGTGAAAGGAACGAGGATTAATATTGAACGGTAAAGAAACACGAATGTCCCAGGAGCGGCGGGACCTGGACCGGTTTTTTAAAATGAAATATTGAGTCTGTGTAGACAATTTCAGCTAGTTAGGCTTGAAAGATTCCAAAGAATATAAAGCAGACAACACGGCAACTTCAATACAAGTGTGTAGTCATAATAATAACAGTGTGTAATGATAAAAGTGTGTAAAAAATGTTGCAAAGTTATATAGTAATGATACTGAATGCAAATGTCTGTATGAATAGTGCCCAGCAGGTTCTCACTGCAGTGTTTCAAGTTTAATTTATGAGGTGTCGCCCTGTGAGCCATGCGGCTCTTGAATCGGGTGCAACCGCAACAAACAAAATATGAACAGAGAACATCTTAAAGCAAATCTTCCAGAAAAAACGCTGCGTGCAAAAATCCCAGTGTGATGCAAGTCAAACAATAACAACCATAATACAATTTAGATTACCCATTTGTTTTCGAAATCACCAAAATAACGCTATAAAAACAATGTAACAACAGTAATCATAGGAACTGTGATTTTAATGTAACAATAAATGATATATATAACATGTACGACCAAACTTTGCAGCCATAGCTGGCAGCACGATACTCCCAGTGTATGATGTGTGAGTGAGTCAGTGGTAGTGTGAGTGAGTCAGTGTAAGATGTGTGAGTCAGTGTAAGATATGTGAGTGAGTCAGTGTATGATGTGTGAGTGAGTCAGTGTATGATGTGTGAGTGAGTCGGTGTATGATGTGTGAGTGAGTGTATGATGTGTGAGTGAGTGTAAGATGAGTGAGTGAGTGTAAGATGAGTGAGTGAGTCAGTGGTAGTGTGAGTGAGTGTATGATGTGTAAGTGAGTCAGTGTATGATGTGTGAGTGAGTCAGTGTATGATGTGTGAGTGAGTGTATGATGTGTGAGTGAGTGAGTGTATGATGTGTGAGTGAGTCAGTGTATGATGTGTGAGCCAGTGAGTGTATGATGTGTAAGTAAGTCAGTGTATGATGTGTGAGTGAGTGTAAGATGAGTGAGTGAGTGAGTGTATGATGTGTGAGTGAGTGTAAGATGAGTGAGTGAGTGTATGATGTGTGAGTGAGTGAGTGTATGATGTGTGAGTGAGTGTATGATGTGAGTGAGTCAGTGTATGATGTGTGAGTGAGTGTATGATGTGTGAGTGAGTGTATGATGTGTGAGTGAGTGAGTGTATGATGTGTGAGTGAGTCAGTGTATGATGTGTGAGTGAGTGAGTGTATGATGTGTGAGTGAGTCAGTGTATGATGTGTGAGTGAGTGAGTGTATGATGTGTGAGTGAGTCAGTGTATGATGTGTGAGTGAGTGTAAGATGAGTGAGTCAGTGGTAGTGTGAGTGAGTGTATGATGTGTGAGTGAGTGTATGATGTGTGAGTGAGTCGGCCTAGTAGAGACCCAGGACCGGTTCAGATAATCGTCACTGGTGTTGACCGTGAACGTGAATCGTGCCAGGGTCGCCGGGTTCGTCGCGCAACGCGGTGACTACAACACTACCAACAACAACCGCCATTCGCCACTAGGTGGTGGTGATGTCACCACGGCGCTTGTGCCTGGCTAGGTGCACGTTAAGGCCACGTGAAGTGTCGAACGCCCGCTGGCAGGTCACCGGACAGACCCAGGTGCCATGGGTCGATTGACTGAGATGACTGCCGATGCACCACCTGTGCCACCTGTGCCCCCTACTGTGCCAACAAAAAAACAACACTACCGCATCCTCCTTCATGTGCAAAGGCAAAAGGTCAGCTTGACGCACTTGCCAGTCGTATGAAGAGCTCACGCACAAGTTCTAGAGGCGTTAACAGTGAACTGGAAGACGGCCTCGAGTCTTCTCTGTGAATCTATGCCCATGTCCCCCACCCTGCATGATGGCAGCAGGAAAAAACTCTGTGTGCCTGCGCTGGTGGCGCTGGTGGCGCTGCTCGTCGGAGTGACGACGGTGGCGTGCTTGGTGGTGCTGGTGGTGAATTGCACACGCGAGCCTCCTGACAACAGCTGTGAGTGCTTGACACATGCCTGTACCTTCCAGTCACCTCCCCTCTGCCCTCCACTATCACCATCAGCTTCATCACCACCTTCACTACTGCAGTACTATGACCACCACCACCAAACCTTCATCACTACCACCACCACCATCACCACTTATCACCACAACAATCATTTCCACAACCATCAGCACCAACATCACAACAATCAACACCGTCATAACCATTGGCACTCTGTACCTCCCCAGCCCCAGGTACCTCCACACGCTTGGTTGAAACGTTCCGCTTGGCTTCCTATTACGGGGACCACATGGTCCTGCAGAGGGGACCACGCGGCGCCTTCGTGTGGGGGTTCGGGAAAGCGGGAGCCAAGGTGGTCGTGAGACTCTACAACGCGGATGAGGACTTGCTGCAGGAGCACGGGAGCAACGTGTCGGCAGGTCTCTGTCTCCGCCGAGCTGTTAACAGCTTTGTCCTGATTTGCTTTTTGCTTCATTGCTGGACCCCCCGCACCTACGACCTAATTGGTTCCTGGACGGCGGTCGCAAGTGGAGCCGTCGTAAGCCGAATCCTCATCTCCCATAGGCGCAATGTTATACATTGGGGTTCCGTTCCTGGAAACCCATTACATACCATAAAATACCGAAATTGATCACGAAAATAAGTAAAAATTACCCTAACAAACATTTATTGAAACTTAACATTACTTTATATTCTTGGGTCTCTCGGTAAAGACACGTAGATAATTTTTTTTATATTATTATTATTTTTCGTATTTCTTATTATTTGATCTATCTACGTGGCTTTACCGAAAGACCCAAGCATATGAATTCCTGCAGTAACGAAAGCTTTAAGTCAAGATTTAACATTACTTTTACAAACATTTATTCAGAAATTACATTTACAAATCCTGAAGTACTTTTCTGCACGTGCATCACATTTCCTCTTCTCAGACATAGCGAAAGGCGAACATTTTTCAAAATTTGAAGAAAAGCATTAATGATAGACGATAGTGAAGAGTGATAATGGAGTGGCAGCCAAAGAATGGAACGTGTCCAAGAAGATGTTCATCGAGCAGATGGACTAATTCAGCTCATGTGCAGGTGCTGAATGCATTGTTGCATTACAAGATCATGAGAGGTGGTGGTGGTGGTGGTGGGGGCTTGGGATAGCCTTCATCCAGCAGTGGTGCGATCACGACTGATGATGATGGTGATGATGAAAAAACAATTTCTGTCAAGCGGCACATGTCCTGACCAAAGTGGGCTATCAGTTCCCTCACGACTGGCCACAACCGGTTCTTTAGCCCACGAGTTGTCATAATTAAATCTTTGAGTTGATCAAAGGGCGAACCCTTTTCACCAAGCGACGAACGCAATAGCAGTGCTTCTTCATTCGTATGGCAGCTGATATAGATGCAGAGCAACAATTCCACACACACAGGTGGCCAAGCAGCAGAGTAGTGTATCACCTATGTCTCCTTCGTGTTTGTGCATCGGGCATTGCATCATTGTCTGTTGCATTGTCTGTTGCATTGTCTGTTGCATTATCTGTTGCATTGTCTGTTCTACATGGCCACAGCCGTACACTGGAGAGTTTTTAATTTTGCATTTGTGCATCCAATGTGAAATTAAATCCACAACAAACCAGCTGCCATGGTTTGTGTTGATGCGGTTTAGGGTGGACCATGAGCTTCGTGGAAGATCAATACAAGGGATCGTCTGCGTTGCGTCTTTCATAAGATGTTTGTTAGTTCTTTTGAACTCCAGATTTCCAAGCAAGCGCCATCGGGGTTGAATTCGCATTGTTTCAGGTTAAATGCATGGGTCCAAAAGGGCCTGCGTGACTTGAAGTGATGACTAGGGGCGTTATTGAGGTCCTGATGAATTAGAAGGGGACTGTTTTCCTCGATTTCCAGGACTTCCCGGAGGGTTGCGGTGGATGGGTGGGAGAGAGATTTGTGACAGCATAGGCAGCCAGGGTGCTGGGGTTGACTTGAAGGTTCCAGTGATACACCGCATTGCATTGTTCAGTGAGACATCAACAAGTTAAACAAGGGCAATGATTAATCAAGGACCCGAAGACTGTGTGTGTGTGTGTATGGTGAGAGGTTTTGTAGCAACGCACTGCAATACAAACCCGGCGAGTTAGATTCCCACTCACGGCCAACACCAGTGATAATGATCTCAACCAGTGTTGGGCCTTCCCTAGGTCGAATTATGTCTCAAATGAGTATCTGGCGCGGTGTGTAAACAACAGCACTGGGAAGACAAACGCAACTGTGTGTGTGGTACTGGTCACTCACCCCTTCGTGTGCCGTGCTGGTGCTAGCTAACAGAACTTGCCCAACTATCTCTTAAGTCTCGCCGGTTTGCTGTGCTGTATTGGCTCTGCAAGTAATCCAGCAGTGTGAATGGTTGGTGGATGACACAAATGTTGTGAAACGCCTTTCCCATGGGTGCCACTAAGATGCCGTACAGCAATTGTGTAGACTCCAGCTGTTCCGTCTGCATGAGGCAAAGTGTTTCCTCCTCCTCGCCCGTGTGCCTTTTCTCCAGGTGCTTCATTGTCCTGCAACTTGTAAGCGCTCATCTTCTTGGTTCTTTCGGTAAAGTCACGTAGAAGGGAAGTAATAAAATAATAAAAATAAAACATAATAAAATTAAAATTAATCTTTACCGAAAGAACCAAGAAGATGAATCCCTGCAGTCACGAAAGCTTTAAATCAAAATTGTAAGCGCTCGTTAATTGCCCGATCACACCTTCATATATAGAGGACCACGGAGCTTGGGCAATTGTTGGCTCCGGCTCATCACGTGGCTGCCTTCCTGGTTGTCGTTCCTCGTTCCCGAGTCGTTCTGTCTGTCTCTCTACACGAGTAGGCGAGTACTGTGCGGCGTGTTACTATTATTATAAGTTTATATGGTGGACATGTGTGTGTGCATGTGTGTGCATGTGTGTGTGTAGAGTCAACCAGGTGGTCCGTGACCCTAGACCCCATGGATGCTGGGGGGCCGTTCTCTCTCAATGCCACCCAGTGGAGCCCTGTCAGGAACGGCACTGGGGGGGAAGTGGCAGAGTTAGTGATCAGCGACGTCTGGTTCGGAGAAGTGTGGCTTTGCGGTGGGCAAAGCAACATGCAGATGACTGTAAAGCAGGTAAAGAGGTTTCGCTTCATCACAAACCACTTGTCCAGCACTTCCCCCACCCCCACCCAGGCCTCAGAACATGCTGCAGATAGAGCCCGCCCTAGCCACCATCACCCTTCGTTTGCTGTGACAACATAATAGCTGTGTCTATTCTCCCCGTGTCTCTGTATCTGCATGTCCGCATGTCTCTGTGTCTGCGTGTCCTCATGTCTCTGTATCGGCGTGTCTCCGTGTCTGTCCCCATCTCCCTGTGTCTGTGTGTCCCCATCTCCCTGTGTCTGCGTGTCCTCATCCCCCTGTGTAAATTTCGATTTAAAGCTTTCGTGACTGCAGGGATTCATCTTCTTCTTCTTGGTTCTTTCGGTAAATTCACGTAGAAGGGAAGTAATAAAATAATAAATAAATAAATAATAAAAATAAAAAGCTTATATATAAGCTCCTATCTTGGCATTGTCTCATTCTTCACCTGAGGACGGCTGCTTGCGTTGTGGCCGAAACGTCGTGAGAATTGTTTTATTATGTTTTATTTTTATTATTTTATTACTTCCCTTCTACGTGACTTTACCGAAAGAACCAAGAAGATGACTCCCTGTGCAACTGCGTGTCTCCGTGTCTCCGTGTCTGCGTGTCCCCATGTCCCTGTGTCTGCGTGTCTACGTGTCTCTGTGTCTGCGTGTTTCAGTGTCTCTGTGTCTGCGTGAACTCTCTGATCCGTTCCCAATCACAAACGGGGTGAAGCAAGGCTGCGTTTTAGCGCCAACGCTCTTCAGCATGGTGTTTTCTGCCATGCTGCAAGACTCATTCCAGAACCACAACACTGGGATTAACTTCATCTACCGTTTTGACGGTGGGCTATTCAATCTGGGGAGGATGCAAGCCAAAACTAGAGTGGAGGAAATCACTGTTCGAGAACTTTTGTTTGCTGATGACTGTGCTCTGGCTGCTGACTCAAATAAAGATCTACAGGACAGTATGGACCACCTCTCCTCAGCCTGCAACAACTTCGGCCTAACAATCAGCACAAAGAAGACTGAAGTCCTATACCAACCTGCTCCTGGGAAACCCTACACTGAGCCAACCATCTTTGTGAATGGGCAAAAGCTTTCAGCCGTTGACAAGTTTACTTACCTTGGTAGTACACTGTCTCGCGCTGTGCACATAGATGATGAAGTTAACATCAGGATTGTCAAGGCCAGTGCAGCATTTGGACGTCTACGTGACTCGGTATGGGAAAGGACTGGCATCAAGCAGGAGACAAAACTGAAGGTCTACCGGGCTGTTGTCTTACCAACTCTTCTGTATGGGTGCGAAGCCTGGACAGTTTACCAGCGCCATGCCAAGAAATTGAATCATTTCCACTTGAGCTGTCTGAGGAAACTGCTGAGGATCAAGTGGCAAGACAGAATCCCTGACACGGAAGTCCTCAGCAAGGCAAATATCCCCAGCATCTACACCTTGCTTGCGAAGGAACAGCTTAGATGGACTGGCCACGTGACCAGAATGCCATACGCGAGACTTCCAAAACAAGTCTTCTTTGGCGAGCTGAGGAATGGCAAGCGAGCACAAGGTGGCCCCAAAAAGCGCTACAAGGACACCCTTAAAGCTTCCTTGAAGAGCTTTGGATTCGACCTGAAAAGCTGGGAATCCCTAGCACAGGACCGACCTGCCTGGAGAAGAAAAGTACAGGACGGTGCAGTCCTCTGTGAGAGTAGGAGACGCTCCTGTGCTATCTTGAAGAGGCAGCAGCGCAAATCTACCAAGGAAGGACGTGTGGCTGCACCTCAGAGCTCTACATCCTCCCTTACCTGTCCAGTGTGCCACAGGGAATTCCGGGCTCGGATTGGCCTCTTCAGCCATCTGCGCACTCATCAAACCCCAACAAAATGACAAACGTGCCATGGTCATCATCAACTTTGATGGACGAACAAGAAGAAGAAGAAGTGTCTGCGTGTCACTGTGTCTCCGTGTCCCCATCTCCCTGTGTCTGCGTGTCCCCATCTCCCTGTGTAACTCCGTGTCTCTGTGTCTGCGTGTCCCCATCTCCCTGTGTAACTCCGTGTCTCTGTGTCTGCGTGTCCCCATCTCCCTGTGTAACTCCGTGTCACTGTGTCTCCGTGTCCCCATCTCCCTGTGTCTGCGTGTCCCCATCTCCCTGTGTAACTCCGTGTCTCTGTGTCTGCGTGTCCCCATCTCCCTGTGTAACTCCGTGTCACTGTGTCTCCGTGTCCCCATCTCCCTGTATCTGTGTGTCCGCATCTCCCTGTGTAACTCCGTGTCTCTGTGTCTCCGTGTCCCCATCTCCCTGTGTCTGTGTGTCCGCATCTCCCTGTGTAACTCCGTGTCTCTGTGTCTGCGTGTCCCCATCTCCCTGTGTCTGTGTGTCCGCATCTCCCTGTGTAACTCCGTGTCTCTGTGTCTGCGTGTCCCCATCTCCCTGAGTAACTCCGTATCTCTGTGTCTGCATGTCCCCATCTCCCTGTGTAACTCCGTGTCTCTGTGTCTGCGTGTCCCCATCTCCCTGAGTAACTCCGTATCTCTGTGTCTGCATGTCCCCATCTCCCTGTGTAACTCCGTGTCACTGTGTCTCCGTGTCCCCATCTCCCTGTGTCTGCATGTCCCCATCTCCCTGTGTAACTCCGTGTCTCTGTGTCTGTGTGTCCGCATCTCCCTGTGTAACTCCGTGTCTCTGTGTCTGCGTGTCCCCATCTCCCTGAGTAACTCCGTATCTCTGTGTCTGCATGTCCCCATCTCCCTGAGTAACTCCGTATCTCTGTGTCTGCGTGTCCCCATCTCCCTGTGTAACTCCGTGTCTCTGTGTCTGCGTGTCCCCATCTCCCTGTGTAACTCCGTGTCTCTGTGTCTGCGTGTCCCCATCTCCCTGTGTAACTCCGTGTCTCTGTGTCTGCGTGTCCCCATCTCCCTGTGTAACTCCGTGTCTCTGTGTCTGCGTGTCCCCATCTCCCTGTGTAACTCCGTGTCTCTGTGTCTGCGTGTCCCCATCTCCCTGTGTCTGTGTGTCCGCATCTCCCTGTGTAACTCCGTGTCACTGTGTCTCCGTGTCCCCATCTCCCTGTGTCTGTGTGTCCGCATCTCCCTGTGTAACTCCGTGTCTCTGTGTCTGCGTGTCCCCATCTCCCTGAGTAACTCCGTATCTCTGTGTCTGCATGTCCCCATCTCCCTGTGTAACTCCGTGTCTCTGTGTCTGCGTGTCCCCATCTCCCTGTGTCTGTGTGTCCGCATCTCCCTGTGTAACTCCGTGTCTCTGTGTCTGCGTGTCCCCATCTCCCTGTGTAACTCCGTGTCTCTGTGTCTGCGTGTCCCCATCTCCCTGTGTCTGTGTGTCCGCATCTCCCTGTGTAACTCCGTGTCACTGTGTCTCCGTGTCCCCATCTCCCTGTGTCTGTGTGTCCGCATCTCCCTGTGTAACTCCGTGTCTCTGTGTCTGCGTGTCCCCATCTCCCTGAGTAACTTCGTATCTCTGTGTCTGCATGTCCCCATCTCCCTGTGTAACTCCGTGTCTCTGTGTCTGCGTGTCCCCATCTCCCTGTGTAACTCCGTGTCTCTGTGTCTGCGTGTCCCCATCTCCCTGTGTAACTCCGTGTCTCTGTGTCTGCGTGTCCCCATCTCCCTGTGTAACTCCGTGTCTCTGTGTAACTGCATGTCCCCATCTCCCTGTGTAACTCCGTGCCTCTGTGTCTGCGTGTCCCCATCTCCCTGTGTAACTGCGTGTCTCCGTGTCTCTGTGTAACTGCGTGTCCCCGTGTCCAGGTCGTGAATGCAAGTTGGGAGCTGGCTCAAGCCGCCGACTTTTCTCTCGTCCGCCTGTTCGCAGTCTCCCTGAACGGGTCGCTGCAGCCCCTCGCCGACTTCACGTCGGTCGCACTCCCCTGGAGTCTCCCCACAGCTGGTGAGCGCTCATCACCGCTCTGAGTTTCACACGGACAGTCCAATGATTGGCACCTGTGTGGCAAGAATTTTATTATATTGAGATATGGTACCAGTATTGTGTTGAAATCTATCGCAGGAAACTACAGTGGTGATATTATCGACCGCAGCTGACTGAGAAGTGTCCCGGTTCGCTCAGTGGTGCGGACGGTGAGCTTGTTCGCTGTGTCTATGGGACCCTTTGTGCCGCTATCAGGGTGATACAAACAAACCGAAGACTTTACTTGAAGGCACATCCACTCACAGGCCATCAATTGTGCAACCAATTTGCTCTCAAAAATGTGCAATGCATTCGCACCAACAGCCAACGTTGGTCGTGAATACCTCTCCCAGGTAGACGAGCCCCGGAATGAGTGCTTGGGGCAGTGTACAAATGTCACCATGAGGCAAAGGCGTAGCTGGGTGTGGTACTGGCCAACCACATCATGTGCCGTGTCAGCCTTAATAGGTGCTCGCTAATGGCACTTGCATAACCAGTCTGTTAGAGGTTACACGGGGAATCTTTGTCGAAACCTGTGTGTGTCTGTCTCTCTGTGTTTCTAGACCGTCTGGGCATGGGAGAATACACCGTCTTCTCAGCCGTCTGTTGGTTCTTTGGTAGGAACCTACACCTGACTCTGAGGGTCCCCGTGGGATTGGTGCAGTCCTGCTGGGGTGGCACCTTCATCGAATCCTGGTCCTCACCCCGAGCCCTCACACACTGCGGAATCAACGCACAGCCTCAAAGCAAGTACGTGTAATGGGGAAATGCGTGGTCTCACACGGAAACCCATTGACTTGCACAGAGACCCATAGACCCTCATAGGGGACATACAGACCCATAAAGTCTATGGGTGATTGTTTAAAGGCTATTTGCCATGTCGCTCCAGAGCCAAGCCACGATACTCTGGCCTCACAACACATCTGCGTCCGACTCAGGGCCAAGCATCACCTCCACGCGTCTCCACTCATTTACTGCGTGTGACGTCGGCAATACAGCTCAGTTTTGCAGTGGAAAATAGTTATCAGAGGCAACTGAATCACTCGTGGCAATTGACTATTTTAAGTTACCAAAAATTGCAATTGAAATGTTTATATATTTTATCATCTACTGTACGTCTGGAAGGAGCAAAGTTGTTCAACTTCAGTGCACTCACTATAAGCCTTTTCTAGTCTAATTATGTTTGTAAGCTTATCAGCATGGCACTGGCAGACGCCACCTCATTGGATGCTGTAACGGCATTCATAGGAGCTCGCTGACAGCATTTATCCCAAAAGTCTGTGTAGGCTATACCAGGGATCTCTGTCTTTTAATGTAGTGATCGACTGGAACCAACAGTGCTGTGGAACGCAATGATTAACCCTCTGCTCAATATGAGCCTCAAAGGGGTCATCTGGTACCAAGGTCAGTGACATACATTAACACATAAACGTAAATTAAACAACAGATGCCATTCGCCACTTAGTGGTGGTGAAGTCACCACGGCGCTTGTGCTAGGCCAGGTGCACTTTGAGGCTATCACAATACGTGTAATGAGGCTCAGTGGCAGGAGGTCATTGGACAGACGCAGGTGCCATGGGTTGATTGAGATGACTGGCAGATGCACCACCTGTGCCCCCGAATGTGCCAACTCGCTGCATTTTATCCATCCAGTATTTTGCTCATTGTTGTGAGCATCACTTTTCCTCCCTCTGTTGTTGGAAGGTGACTGCATTCAACTACTCATGAGTATCATTGATAATCATGTGCAAAATATAAACTCACTACTCTACAAGACGTCTGGAAAAAATCTTAGCAAGATGCAGCACGTGTCGTGATGGGTACTGCAAGATCCGACCGTGTCCGCCCGCTACTCACCGAGCTGCATTTGTTTACGGTTGCTGAATACATTCCACAAATGAACCACAATACTTTGCTGATCTCATCAAGGGGCATAAACCATCATGCTAACTCCGGTCATCCTCGCAGTAACTTTTGGCTTGCCATCGAACAAAGATGGTTACCGCATCGCGTACTTCAGATGCGCTTCTGCGGTCGTCTGGACCGACCTTTCAATATTAGGAAGCCACTGGAGCTATGATGCACTTTTAAATCTCGATTGGAAACAAATATTTTAGAACTGATTTTTGCGTTTAGTTTGTTGTCCTTCCCCACACCTCCGATGAGCATGGTTGGCTATGTATGGTGCGAAAGAAGTTCAACATACATGTGCCACTCTAGATGCACATCTCTCTTCCTTGTTCCTTGAGCAGGTGAAAGCAACACTGGGCACAACACTGACCTCTACAACTGCAGCTTCCCGGCCATGATTAACGACTGGCGTCAGGGATTCTCCATAGCCACCAATGGCAACACAGACCCGCTTCTGCCATTTGGATTTGCGCAGGTGAGAAGTTAAACCATCCAGCAGTGGATTCGTCATGGCTGCAAATAACGACCGGCATGACTGGGATGTCTGGCTTAATTACCATGGCATGGCTGAAAAAGCTTATCCTTTTAGTGCTTGTTTTTTTTTACCAACTTTTGGGAAACTCTTTGATTAATGTGTTTAGATTTGTCAAGGGTGAGTCCCTAATAGCAATACAACTTTACACTAAAGTTTGTATCATATTGGACCATCTTTATCAGAATTATCTCTCTCTGCCCAAGTTTATCTCCCATGTCTCATTCAACATCTTTCTCCCCTGGTCTCTCTCCTCGAATCTCTCCCTGTCTGTTCCTGTCTCTCGCCCCGATATCGCTCAACATCTCTCTTTCTTTCTCTTTCTGCGTAACTCCTCGTATCTGTCTCCCGGCGTCTCTCTACCGTTGTCTTTAGATCTCCACCAGTAACCCAGGTGACAACACGGACTCGTATCCACGCATTCGCTGGCACCAGTCTGCAGACTACGGTTTCTCCCCCAACTCGCGAATGCCCAAAACCTTCATGGCCGTGACCATCGACTTGTGTGACCGCAACTCCAACTACGGGTGGTGAGTGGCTGACTTAAGCATCGTGCTCCCTGACTCCCCTCCCTTTACTTTCCCCTATCCAGCCAGTTGAATTACTTGGGCAGTTTCAATGCCCGTGTTATTTGATTTGGTTTTGGCATCCAATGCCCTGTTGATTTGTGCATCATTGTAACCGTTCATTTGAGGCGCTTCTTTAACGTGTTTAATTTCACTTCTCAGACTATCACCATCTGACACTTTCTTAGCGCGATGAATGAGCGTCTTGATAAGAGCAGATTTCTGTGCGGGGCGATGGTGTGACTGCATTCAGATAGGCGTCAGTGTGCATTTTCTTTCGGTAAATGCTGTGTTAAATCTTGACTTAAAGCTCTCGTGACTGCAGGAATTCATATTCTTTGGGTCTTTCGGTAAAGTCACGTAGAGAGGTTTATTGAAATAACAAACCTCCTTTTCCTGATGACCGCTTGTGTTGCGATCGAAATGTCGCAGTTTTTTGTTATTTTTGTAATTCCAATGAACCTATCTACGTGACTTCACCGAAAGACCCAAAGAATATGAAATGCTGTGTTATTTTGCCATTTCCACTACGTCCAAGCAGAATATCCAGAAATGGTAGAGTTCTGTCAGCTTCCACTTCCATGGTGAACTGGGTGGATGGGTTTTGCGAGTTGAGATGATTGAGAAGTTAGTTAAGTGCATCTTTGCCATGTGGCCAGACTACCAATGTGTCATCCACATATCTAAACCAAGTAGAGGGTTTTCGTGTGCTTGAAGCTATTGCTTTTGTTTAAAAATTTCCACGTACAAATTCGCTATCACAGGAGAGCCCATTGCTGCTCCTCCCTTTTGATTATAGAAGTCATCTTTCCAAAAGAATAGGTGTTCTTTAGACAGTGTTCAGCTAGTCTTGGTATATCTTTGGCTAAACCTATGTTTATTACCAAAGTGTCGAGTAATTTAATTTAATTGTTGACCGGAACCCTCGTGAACAGAGAAGTCCCATCAAAACATACGAGAATACCATTAGGGTTAAGCTTAATATCTTTATACTCATACTCTTTGGTTCTTTTGGTAAAGTCACGTAGGTAGAAAATAATAGATCACAACGTTTCTATCGCAACAGAAGCGACCGTCACCAAGTGAGACAATCACAGCAGGGAAACTGCTGAAGCAGGCGAGGGCGCTGCCGTGACACGAGGCTATATAGGGGAGGGTAAGGGGGCGGGGCTAGAGGTGGGGGAGAGGGGGGGCGGGGGCTATATAGGGGAGGGTAAGGGGGCGGGGCTAGAGGTGGGGGAGAGAGGGGGCGGGGCTATATAGGGGAGGGTAAGGGGGCGGGGCTAGAGGTGGGGGAGAGAGGGGGCGGGGCTATATAGGGGAGGGTAAGGGGGCGGGGCTAGAGGTGGGGGAGAGGGGGGCGGGGCTATATAGGGGAGGGTAAGGGGGCGGGGCTAGAGGTGGGGGAGAGAGGGGGCGGGGGCTATATAGGGGAGGGTAAGGGGGCGGGGCTAGAGGTGGGGGAGAGAGGGGGCGGGGCTATATAGGGGAGGGTAAGGGGGCGGGGCTAGAGGTGGGGGAGAGGGGGGCGGGGCTATATAGGGCAGGGTAAGGGGGCGGGGCTAGAGGTGGGGGAGAGGGGGGGCGGGGCTATATAGGTAGGGTAAGTGGGTGGGGCTAGAGGTGGGGGAGAGAGGGGGCGGGGCTAGAGATGGGAGAGGGGGGCGGGGCTAGAGGTGGAGGAGAGAGGGGGCGGGGCTAGAGGTGGGGGAGAGAGGGGGCGGGGCTAGAGATGGGAGAGGGGGGCGGGGCTAGAGGTGGGGGGGGAGAGGGGGCGGGGCTAGAGATGTGAGAGAGGGGGCGGGGCTAGAGATGGGGGCGGGGCTAGAGATGGGAGAGAGGGGGCGGGGCTAGAGATGGGAGAGAGGGGGGCGGGGCTAGAGGTGGGAGAGAGGGGGCGGGGCTAGAGATGGGAGAGGGGGGGCGGGGCTAGAGGTGGGAGAGGGGGGGCGGGGCTAGAGGTGGGAGAGGGGGGGCGGGGCTAGAGGTGGGAGAGGGGGGGCGGGGCTAGAGGTGGGAGAGGGGGGGCGGGGCTAGAGATGGGAGAGGGGGGCGGGGCTAGAGGTGGGAGAGAGGGGGCGGGGCTAGAGGTGGGAGAGGGGGGCGGGGCTAGAGGTGGGAGAGGGGGGGCGGGGCTAGAGATGGGAGAGGGGGGCGGGGCTAGAGGTGGGAGAGAGGGGGGCGGGGCTAGAGATGGGAGAGGGGGGCGGGGCTAGAGGTGGGAGAGGGGGGCGGGGCTAGAGGTGGGGGAGAGAGGGGGCGGGGCTAGAGATGGGAGAGAGGGGGCGGGGCTAGAGATGGGGGCGGGGCTAGAGATGGAGAGAGGGGGCGGGGCTAGAGATGGGAGAGAGGGGGCGGGGCTAGAGATGGGAGAGAGGGGGCGGGGCTAGAGATGGGAGAGAGGGGGCGGGGCTAGAGATGGGAGAGAGGGGGCGGGGCTAGAGATGGGGGCGGGGCTAGAGATGGGAGAGAGGGGGCGGGGCTAGAGATGGGAGAGAGGGGGCGGGGCTAGAGATGGAAGAGAGGGGGCGGGGCTAGAGATGGGAGAGAGGGGGCGGGGCTAGAGATGGGAGAGAGGGGGCGGGGCTAGAGATGGGAGAGAGGGGGCGGGGCTAGAGATGGGAGAGAGGGGGCGGGGCTAGAGATGGGAGAGAGGGGGGGGAGTCGGAGAGGTCGCCAGATAGAAAAATGATCTAAAAAATCACGACGTTTCTCTTTAACTATGTTTACGAGATGATGAATGTATGTGGCAGAGTCGATTGTACTATGGGTATTAATGGTACATCGGGTTTGTGAATTTTTGGTAGCCCATAAAGTCTGGGTGGTTTTACGCCCTTGATTTGATCAGGTATTGCTCTTCCTTGGGAATTGATGACTTGGCAATGATTGCTGTTGTTTTACGTTCCAAAGTGTTGGTTGGGTCTCGTCTAATTTTAAGGTAGGTACCTTCATCAAGTAAATCTTTGATTTATTATCGTATTCCTCACGGGGCATCACAACAGTTGATTGGCCCTTATAAGCAGCAAGAATTTGGATATCTGTATTTGCTCTCAATTCTCTTAAAGCTTTGGTCTCACTGAAACTAATATTTGTTCTTGTAAATCTACTGTTCTCAATCATTTTGGCAACCTCATGCCTAATAATCTCAGCTTGATTGTGGGAGCTGTCTCACTGCTGATTCCACTTCAGCAATTATCTCTGACCGCGGAATTAGCCGATCTCAAAAAATATCTTAAAGTCTGCGATTTTTCTGCAGATAGTTTGATCTCTGTCCCCGCAGGCAACAGGAGTTGCCGAGAACTACGGCGTGTGCCATGTGAAATCCCGTTCACCCGCAAATTTGCTTGTGTTATTAGAAAGTGTCCATCATTTTTCAATTGCGTCAACACGAAATTTCGTAAACCAAAGGTTCATAAATCTAGGGATACTTGAATATAATGTAGTGTATAGTAGTGTAGTATATAGTGTAGTGTAGTATATAGTGTAGTATATAATGTAGTGTATAGTAGTGTAGTGTATAGTGTAGTATATAATGTAGTGTATAGTAGTGTAGTATATAGTGTAGTGTATAGTAGTGTAGTATATAATGTAGTGTAGTGTATAGTGTAGTATATAATGTAGTGTATAGTAGTGTAGTATATAGTGTAGTGTAGTATATAGTGTAGTATATAATGTAGTGTATAGTAGTGTAGTGTATAGTGTAGTATATAATGTAGTGTATAGTAGTGTAGTATATAGTGTAGTGTATAGTAGTGTAGTATATAATGTAGTGTAGTGTATAGTGTAGTATATAATGTAGTGTATAGTAGTGTAGTATATAGTGTAGTGTAGTATATAGTGTAGTATATAATGTATTGTATAGTAGTGTAGTGTATAGTGTAGTATATAATGTAGTGTATAGTAGTGTAGTATATAGTGTAGCGTAGTATATAGTGTAGTATATAATGTAGTGTATAGTAGTGTATAGTGTAGTATATAATGTAGTGTATAGTAGTGTAGTATATAATGTAGTGTAAAGTAGTGTAGTAGATAATGTAGTGTATAGTAGTGTAGTATATAATGAAGTGTATAGTAGTGTAGTATATAGTGTAGTGTAGTATATAATGTAGTGTATAGTAGTGTAGTATATAATGTAGTGTATAGTAGTCTAGTATATAATGTAGTGTATAGTAGTGTAGTAAATAGTGTAGTGTATAGTAGTGTAGTATATAGTGTAGTGTAGTATATAATGTAGTGTATAGTAGTGTAGTATATAGTGTAGTGTAGTATATAGTGTAGTATATAATGTAGTGTATAGTAGTGTAGTGTATAGTGTAGTATATAATGTAGTGTATAGTAGTGTAGTATATGATGTAGTGTATAGTAGTGTAGTATATAATGAAGTGTATAGTAGTGTAGTATATAATGTAGTGTATAGTAGTGTAGTATACAATGTAGTGTATAGTAGTGTAGTGTATGGCGCAGTGTATAGTAGAAGCAGTATATAGTGTAGTGTATAGTGGTGTAGTATATGGTGCAGTGTAGAGTAGTGCAGTATATAATGTAGTGGAGTGTACAGTAATGTAGAAAATAATGTCGTGCAGGATATAGTTGTGTAGTATAAAATATAGTGTAGTGTAGGAGATCATGTGTTGTTGTGTATTGTAATATAGAGTATAACGTAGTGTAGTATATAATATAGTTTACTGTACAGAAATGTAGAATATAATGTTGTGTAGTGTATAGTTGTGTAGAGTAGTGTATAATATATCTCTCTGTACAGGATCCACCCGCGCTACAAGAAGGAGGTTGCCTCCCGTCTGCTGCTGGGTGCGATGGCCGTTGCCTACAATGACAGTTCCTCCATATTCCAGGGGCCCTTCCCAGAATTGGCCACTGTGAACCTCACAACCCAGATGCTCGTCATCAGATATGGACAGACGCTGAGCCACCGCAATGACGGACGGGGCGAATTTCAGGTCAGAGGTCATGTTCCATGATACCATAAGATACAATATCAATTATCGCGTTATCAGTACTTTTCTCTACTTCCAGTACGAATACAGATTGTCTATTGTTCAAATGCAGTTCACTCCACATTATCCTACTACACGTTTTCTCATCATTGTATAATCATAATCTCTCCTCTTTCTCTCTCCTCTACTCTCCCTGCTCCCATCTCCTCTCTGAACCACTACCCTCTTTTCCCCTCCCCTTCCCTCCTCTCCCCCTTCTCTGTCATCTCTTCTTCATCGCAGATCTGCTGTTCCCAAGTCCTCGGTCAGTGTCTCGACCCAGATTGGCACCAAGCCCCAATCGTCTCTGTACAAGCGCAGAGTGTCTTCCTCAACATCTCCACCTGCATCAACACCAGCAGGGCCGTGACGTCCGTCCGTTACGCTTGGTCCAACTGGCCGTGCGAACTCCATGCTTGTGCTCTCTATGGAGTGGGGCCCACCGCACTACCAGCACCCCCCTTCATAAAGGCCGTGCCGTCGGAGGGGGTTTACATCGGCAGTCCCGCGGGGGTTCCTAACGGCCGTGTTGATGGGGCCCATAATGGCCGTGTTGGGGGGCTGATAATGGCCGCGTTGGTGGGGTTCACAATGGTCATGTCGGTGGGTTTATGCCATGGCCTCTAAGCTGTCCCTCCTCCGGTGGAGTTTGCGGGACCTTGGCTTGGGTCACCACCTTTCTCAGAGACCAAGACTGTAATATATATTGCGAGGTCAACACTACAGAGTATAACCACAATTAAATTCCACATAATCCCTGGACCAAATGTCAGTATAAATCAATTCTTGTCACGCGAACACAGATGCCAATATCCAGACATGTGGCAACTCTGTTAGGTGCATGAGTGGGCAAGCAGTTTGTGGTGTACTGATTTGCTAAATACAGTGAGGGAAAAAAGTATTTGATCCCCTGCTGATTTTGTACGTTTGGCCACTGACAAAGAAATGATCAGTCTGTAATTTTAATGGTAGGTTTATTTTAACAGTGAGAGACAGAATAACAACAACAAAAATCCAGAAAAACGCATGTCAAAAATGCTATAAATTGATTTGCATTTTAATGAGGGAAATAAGTATTTGACCCCTCTGTAAAACATGACTTAGTACTTGGTGGCAAAACCCTTGTTGGCAATCACAGAGGTCAGACGTTTCTTGTAGTTGGCCACCAACCTAAAGATGATCCAAATAACTACCGACCTATCTCAATTTTGTCCCCGTTGATGAAAATTTGTGAAAAATTATTGAACTACCAAATTAGCAGTTTCCTGTCCGACAACAATCTATTACATCGAAAACAATCTGGGTTCCGAAAAAAATACAGCACCACATCTGCTGCATTAGACTCTCTGAATCACATTTACAGTAGCCTTGATAATAAGCAGTACTGCGCCTGTCTTTGTCTTGACTTGTCCAAAGCCTTTGATACAGTCGACCACAACACCCTGCTTAGTAAACTAAGTTGCCTCGGTTTCTCCAAACGCAGTGGAATGGTTAAAAAATTACCTCTCTTTTTGCACCCAAACTGTATTCATAGATAGTTGGAGGTCAAACAGTGTTAATATAACGAAAAGGGTTCCATCCTCGGCCCCCTCTTGTTCTCTCTTTATGTCAATGACTTGGGCACTGACCTGGATCATTCTAGGGTAAATCTTTTTGCAGATGACACGATACTGATTACTGCTGGCCGCTCTCCGGATGACGTGATTGCTAAGCTCCAGGGTGATTTCAACAAACTACAACATCAGCTAGTTGCTCTTAAACTAGTCCTGAATACCTCCAAAACCAAGGTGCTATGCTTCTCACCAGGACTAAAGCAGTAAGTTATTTTTCCCCAATTACATTCCTTAAATAATTATCAAATAGAGCAAGTCAAGATCTATAAGTATATTGGGGGCATTCTTGATTCAAGGCTGAATTTTGAAGATCACATTGATTATATTGGTAAAAAGACAAAAATAAAAATTGGTTTTCTGTATCGACACAAGCACTGCTTCCCCCCTATGTTACGTTTGGAATTGATAAAAGCTACCATACTGCCTCTACTTGATTACTGTGACATCGTGTATAAATCAGCCCCAAGTACTGTACTGAAGAAGCTTGACTCAATGTATCACTCGGCCTTAAGATTTGCATTGAACTGCCCATATAGGACTCACCACTGCGATCTCTACATTGGGTCAAACTTAACATCTCACAATGTTCAACGGCTTGTGCATCAGATCTTATTTATTCATGATGTACTTACAAAAAAATCCGCAGATTACCTGCTGGATCTCCTCTCTGTTTCAAAGAACAAATTTGACCTAAGGTCTTCGCTCATTTACCAGCTTCACATTCCCTATTGCCAAACAAATACTGGAGGAAGGGCCTTTGCTATTGATGCCCCCAGGGTCTGGAATGCTATTGCCAATAAACTGCAACTTGAATCACTACCTATGAGATCTTCACTCAAAACTGCTCTAGAGGACTTGTACACCCCTAGCTGCCACTGCAATTTAGTGGCCTAAAATACAATGTTTCACTCCGGATGATCGCTGCAAAGTATGCTCTGTGTTTTGATTTAGTGTGCTGATCTTAAAGGTGCATTGAAAAATGTTGACACTCCGACTGATGCTCCTGCTGTTGTGGAGTGACTCATGCAGCCAGCTATGGCTGCAGAGTTTGGTAGTACATGTTGTTTACATCGTTTATTGTGAAAATTCGGTCACAGTTCCTATGATCACTGTTTCATTGGTTTTATGGCTTCATTTTGGTGATTTCGAAAAGTTTTTCGGTTTGGCCATGTTTGTTTGTTGTAGTACAGAGTTAGACTGATGGCCTTAATCTAAGTTGTCTTGTGGTTGTTGTTGTTTGACTTGCATCCCACTGGAATTTTTGCACAGTGTTGGTGTACGGTGCTTTTTCTGCAATATTTTGCTGTCTTTTCTTGAATTTCTGTTTGCACATAGTCCCTTTAAGATGTTTTCCTGTTCATGTTTTTGTTTTTTGTTTGTTGCGGTTGCACCCGATTCAAGAGCCGAATGGCTCACAGGGCTATACCTAGTAAATGAAACTTGAAAACTTGAAACCAGGTTTGCACACATCTCAGGAGGGGTTTTGTCCCACTCCTCTTTGCAGATCTTCTCCAAGTCATTAAGGTTTCGAGGTTGACGTTTGGCAACTCGAACCTTGAGCTCCCTCCACAGATTTTCTATGGGATTAAGGTCTGGAGACTGGCTAGACCACTCCAGGACCTTAATGTGCTTCTTCTTGAGCCACTCCTTTGTTGCCTTGGCCGTTTGTTTTGGGTCATTGTCATGCTGGAATACCCATCCACAACCCATTTTCAATGCCCTGGCTGAGGGAAGGAGGTTCTCACCCAAGATTTTACTGTACATGGCCCCGTCCATCGTCCATTTGATGCGGTGAAGTTGTCCTGTCCCCTTAGCAGAAAAACACCCCCAAAGCATAATGTTTCCACCTCCATGTTTGACGGTGGGGATGGTGTTCTTGGGGTCATAGGCAGCATTCCTCCTCTTCCAAACATGGAGAGTTGAGTTTATGCCAAAGAGCTCCATTTTGGTCTCATCTGACCAAAACACTTTCACCCAATTGTCCTCTGAATCATTCAGATGTTCATTGGCAAACTTCAGACGGGCATGTATATGTGCTTTCTTGAGCAGGGGGACCTTCCGGGCGCTGCAGGATTTCAGTCCTTCACGGCGTAGTGTGTTACCAACTGTTTTCTTGGTGACTATGGTCCCAGCTGCCTTGAGATCATTGACAAGATCCTCCCGTGTAGTTCTGGGCTGATTCCTCACCGTTCTCATGGTCATTGCAACTCCACGAGGTGAGATCTTGCATGGAGCCCCAGGCCGAGGGAGATTGACAGTTCTTTTGTGTTTCTTCCATTTGCGAATAATCACACCAACTGTTGTCACCTTATCACCAAGCTGCTTGGCGATGGTCTTGTAGCCCATTCCAGCCTTGTGTAGGTCTACAATCTTGTCCCTGACATCCTTGGAGAGCTCTTTGGTCTTGGCCATTGTGGAGAGTTTGGAATCTCATTGATTGATTGCTTCTGTGAACAGGTGTCTTTAATACAGGTAACAAGCTGAGATTAGGAGCACTCCCTTTAAGAGTGTGCTCCTAATCTCAGCTCGTTACCTGTATAAAAGACACCTGGGAGCCAGAAATCTTTCTGATTGAGAGGGGGTCAAATACTTATTTCCCTCATTAAAATGCAAATCAATTTATAAAATTTTTACATGCGTTTTTATGGATTTTTTGTTGTTATTCTGTCTCTCACTGTTCAAATAAACCTACCATTAAAATTATAGACTGATCATTTCTTTGTCAGTGGGCAAACGTACAAAATCAGCAGAGGATCAAATACTTTTTTCCCTCACTGTAAATGAGTAGATGGATTGGTGAGTGTGTAGCAGGTTTCATCCCCTTCCACAGATCACAACCAGAAATATTTATAACCAATACCCATAATCTTAAACCCTAACCCTCTAACCCAACCCATCCCTAACCTTAAGTGCTAACTCTAAAACGCTCCAACCTTAACACTAAACACAACACCTTACCCATAACCACAAACCACTAAACTTCAACCACTAAACCTCAAACTTAACCATACACTCAAACGCAAACTCATGAAACCTAAATTAAGAGTACATAGTCCAACCTTAAAATAAAAATGAAACAATATTACGCGGCTTAAAGACACTGACGCAATTATTAGTAAAGAATTTACTACAGAGTTCACAGTAAATTCCATAAAACATTTGGATAAATTAGATTGTCAAAGTTAGTTTCACAGCGATGTCACATTCATAATCGTCAGAAAGGCGAGAAGTGTTAATGAATGGCTGGGTTCACATGGAGGGGTCATCCTTGGTTCCGGGACATCTCCAAGAGCTGGGTGAATGCACCCTGCCCCTGTCTCTCCCACACAACGAGGCAATGCCGAGAGAAGATGGATTTCAATTGTTACACATTACCCACTATGACGCATGGATCAAAAACATGGACACTGGTATAGAAAATGGAACAAAAACTGAAGAGTGCACAGACGTATGGAGAGGTGTGCCTCCTCAGAATTACACTGAGAAAAAGGAGAGAGGAACACGTGGATTAGAGAAAACGCCAAAGGTTCGAGACATCACGTCAACTGTCATGAGAAGCAAATGGGCTTGGGCAGGATTCGTCACGGCCAGAAGGGAAGATGTCCTGTGGTCGAGACTGGTAAAGAAATGCAGCCAAAGGAGGAACACCTATCTTGGAGATGGAGCATTTTAAATTGACATGTATACTAGGAGCTAGATGGGTCGTTGCATTACCAGGCAGTGGCAAATGGCACTGGATTGGGGAGCCCTTCATCCAGCAGTGGACTGACAATGCCTGATGATATGTTTGTGTGTCCGCACCTAGCCTCGTACAAGCATCGGAGTGTGTATATAGAATGTATGTCATGTATAGTAGCTTCTCGGTTTGATTGAGTCGACCGAGAAGTTGCCCAGTCCCACACATCAGTCAGAGAGCAGTGGTGAGGATCCAGTGACACGATCATTAGAGAAGCTGTCCATGATGGACCTCGATGACATCAAAGCAAAGATCAAGGATCTGCAAAGGAAACGCCATCAAAAAGTGAGAGTGAGGGTGGAGGTGATATTGGTATTGGTGATGATGATGGTCTATGTATGTTGACCTTTTTTTCACTGTATGTAGCCAACCGTGCTAATCGGTGATGATGGCGATGGCGATTATGGTGATGACGATGGTGGTGTTAGTGGTGGTGAATGTGATAGTTATGGTGGTGATGATGCTGATAATGATGGTGGTGTTGGTTATGGTGGTAGTAGTGATGGAGGTGGTAATAGTAATGGTGGTTGATGGTAGTGATGGTTTTATTTCGATTTAAAGCTTTCGTGACTGCAGGGATTCATCTTCTTGGTTCTTTCGGTAAAGTCACGTAGAAGGGAAGTAATAAAATAATAAAAATAAAACATAATAAAACAATTCTCACGACGTTTCGGCCACAACGCAAGCAGCCGTCCTCAGGTGAAAACCAGGTCCGTCGAGGCGACAGAGTCTGAATGAAACAGCACACGAGCTTGGAGCATATATATAAGCTGGGCGCATTGACAAAGGAATTTGCATATCAAAAGGAATTTAGCATATTTATGCAAATTCCTTTGTCAATGCGCCCAGCTTATATATATGCTCCAAGCTCGTGTGCTGTTTCATTCAGACTCTGTCGCCTCGACGGACCTGGTTTTCACCTGAGGACGGCTGCTTGCGTTGTGGCCGAAACGTCGTGAGAATTGTTTTATTATGTTTTATTTTTATTATTTTATTACTTCCCTTCTACGTGACTTTACCGAAAGAACCAAGAAGAAAAAAAAGTGATGGTTTTATTGATGATCATGATGATAATTTTACCTTCATCCAAATTGTCGTAGATGTCAGAGTCCCTGCAATAAAAACAGGAAGGCCAGTTTTTACGTGTCCATAACGCCCAATCCCACAGAGAGTTTCCTTGTCTGACTCCCCTTCAATCCCAGTGAGAGTGTCTCCTCGTATCAAGTGAAACTGAGCAGCCTCGGAGGTTGTGTTTGTTTGTGATTGTTGTGGTCGTATTCACATTGGTTGTAGTTATTGTATCCATGGTTGTAGTTATTGTATCGATGGTGGTTGTGATGGTGCTTTTGGTTGTTGCTGCGCTTATGACTGGCCATTGTGGATGTGCTGCTTGTAGCGATTGTGGTTGCTTTGGTTGTGATTGTTGTGCTTCTCACTCTTGGTCCGGTTGAGATAAGTGCTCTCTGGGAATATACCCATCTGAAGACACAGAAACACAGGGTCAACGTTGAGGTACTGCCTCTGATTGATTGCTTGTGACTACTCGTAGTTGCGCATGATTTATCGTGGCTGCATGCACTTAAACGTGATTTGTGTCACACTTCATCCCTCATTTCCGCACTTCGGGAAACTCCGCTGTGGTTCAACCGCAACTGCCAAACAGCAGCCTTTTCTGAAGATTTTTGCCTGTGCTGAATAAATGCTGCCAAATTAATTCACTCCCAGAAGGCCATGCGGCTGACGAGGTGTGTAAAGAACGCCCCTTGTTTTTAACATGCGGAGCGACGGACATGGAAAGCGGACTCAGCCCTGTCTGCGCATCAGTCATGGTGCGTATATTCTCCACAGCGACGCTACTTAGGGCCACTTTGACTCTCTCAGTGACAGAGAGTTGGTGTCACTGTCTCTTCCTTTGCCGAATACAAATCACTCGCATCGACCGCAAGTGTGCCCTCAAGCAAGCAACACTTGTGTTGTTGCTCAAGTGTTGGTCGTGGTTACGTGTGGTTACTCGCGATTCTTTGTGATTGCTTGTGGTGGCGTGCGTTTGTTCGTGGTTGCGTGTGATTGCATGCTCACATTTTCCCAGGCGGTTGCGGCACAGTGCCCGCATCTCATCCGTGTTTTGTACGAGGTCAAAGGTGTCGCCCTTTGACCCCGAGAGGTCAAGGCGCCCCAAGGGTCGGAGGTCACGGAGCAGCGAGACCACAGAGAGTGTGGGGAGGTCACCAGAAAGCTGCAACCACCACAACTATTACAATCACCACACCATCCACTATAACCACAACAATCACTATAATCACCAGCATCACAACAATTACTGTAACTACCACCACAACAAACGCCGATCACCACTAAGTGGTGGGTCCTGATGTCACCACGGCGCTTGTGCCACGCCAGGTGCACTCCAAGGCCACGTGAAGTGTAAAAGGCTCGCTGACAGGTCACGGGTCAGACCCAGTTGCCACGGGTTGACTGAGATGTCTGACAGATGTACCACCTGTGCCCCCTACTTTTCCAACATGCTGCACTGCACTCCATTCATTGTTGTGAGTGTCGCTCCTCTGCCCTCCACTGTAGCTGGAGGGCGACTGCCTCCGATTTCCCAGAAGCGTCCGTCACACCCCTCCTCCATAGAGGCCAATCTTGACACCGTTTGGTTACCTGTCTTCGGCAAGTCCGCTCAGCTCCACATCCTCTCAGTCCATCTCTTCTCCAGCCCATGCCATGCCTGTTCAGCCCCTCTATCTGGCCAAACACAAGTTGCTTGAGCATGTGGTGGCTCGGCATGTGGGCTACATGATCCAGCCAATGCAGCCTCACCTGCCAGAGCTCAATGACGGGAATTTGTTCAGATCTTTCAAGAATTTGTGAGCTCCTCACACTGCAGCCTGGTTAAACCCAAGATGGATCATGCGCAGGCCACCCTTCGTTTCTCACTGCCGCAGCTGTTCCATTAGAGGTTTCTACGTTGTGCAAGCAGAGCGAAGGGAGGGCATAACTGTCCGAGAAGACCTGGAGCTTCGTGTGGAGTGACATACTTGGTAAATTCCACACAGCGTTACACAGCTGATGAAAGATAATGCTGCTCTGCTGATTCAGAGTGACACCTCTGTTGCCAAAGTGGAGTTGGTCATAAACACACTGCCCAGGTAATGAAAAAATTATCCACTCTTCGCAACTGCCCCATCGCTCATTGGGAGTTGAGGGGATGGAGTATTGGATGTCACAAAATACCCAAGCAGGTGCTTAGTTTTGGTGCGACTGATGGTAAGGCACCACCTTTTAGTGGAACACTCCAGGTTCAGCAGCAGAACCTCCAACTCCTTCTCAGAGTGGCAGTAATCACCAGATGATCAGCATGCAAAACATGGTATGCTGATGAACATGGTATGCCCAGGTGGGGCCATCCCTTGACCCCACCCGGGCATCGATCAGCCTCCCATTGTGTATCTTCCAGATGGAAATTCGACTAGTACAGCCATGGGAAGTTTCTCAAACTACGTGGTCGGAGACGTTTCATAATGTGGGAGCCAGAGTAGATCTATGTCGCGCCCCAAGGTGAACAAGGAATGGCTCTGACTCCTGGCCATGTGGCTTTTAATAACTCGCAACCACATCTGGTATACGGGGATGGTCGTGGTGAGGATGGTGGTGATGGTGGTAAGGAATTATTTTAAGAACTTACGAATAGTTTCATGCTCTTTAAATTGAATTTTTTAAATGTTATGCTTTCTAAAATATTGTTTGCTGTATGATTTTGTGTGTTTGATATAATTGTGCCTGGGATGGCAGATTTATGCCAGAAAGATACCAGAGAGCAATAAAAAATCAATTGTACTTGACTATCACCTTAAACTTTTTCCGGGCCTCCCTCTCTTCCCGCTCTCTTATTTTTCTCATCTTCTCTTCTGCCTTCTTGTCTTCCTTCCTGCAGCAGCAGCAGCAACGTCATCGCATCTCATTATCTCACAGTGGCGACACTCGCACCTCGCAGCGAGAACAGCCTGGGTTCGATTCCCAACTCAAGTGTCTGTATGTGTGGCCTGTCCTGCAGTGTGTGTGGCAGTGGGGAGCGGTGGTGCAGCAATTAGCGCGCTGCACTATGAACCCGGCAACACGAATTCGATACCCACCTCACGGCAAACACCAGTGACAATTATCTGAACCGCTCCTCGGCCTGCCCGAGGTCGACAAAGGTGGCCGGACATGGTGCTAGTCACCCACCCCCCCCCCCCTCGTGTGCCGTGCCAGCCTTCATAGGTGCTACTTGCGAACGGCACTTGCCCCAACAGTCTGTTAAGAGACTACATGGGGGATCTTTGTCTTTGTTATGAATTCTAGATTTGAAGTTTTAGTGACTGCAAAGATCCATACTCTTTGGTTCTTTCGGTAAAGTCACGTTGGTAAAAATAAAAATAAGAGATAAAAATAGAAATAAAAAAGAAATAAATAAAAGTTAATTAAATCACGACGTTTCGATTGCAACACAAGCAATCATCATCAGGTGTGAAAATCACAGCTAGAAAGTTTTTACTAAAGTGGGAGAAATGTCGGGGCTAAGGAGTTTCTATAAGTGTGGACGTCAGGGACTGGGACGTGAGACTGTGTGGGGGGGGGGAGTGGGCGGGGCTAGAAGCGAGAGGTTGAGGGAGAGACGCGCGGGGGGGGGAAGTGGGCGGGGCTAGAAGCGAGAGGTTGAGGGAGAGAAGTGCGGGGGGGGGAAGTGGGCGGGGCTAGAAGCGAGAGGTTGAGGGAGAGAGACGCGCGGGGGGGGGAGTGGGCGGGGCTAGAAGCGAGAGGTTGAGGGAGAGAAGTGCGGGGGGGGGAAGTGGGCGGGGCTAGAAGCGAGAGGTTGAGGGAGAGAAGCGCGGGGGGGGGAGTGGGCGGGGCTAGAAATGAGAGGTTGAGGGAGAGAAGCGCGGGGGGGGAGTGGGCGGGGCTAGAAGCGAGAGGTTGAGGGAGAGAAGCGCGGGGGGGGGAGTGGGCGGGGCTAGAAATGAGAGGTTGAGGGAGAGAAGTGCGGGGGGGGGGAGTGGGCGGGGCTAGAAGCGAGAGGTTGAGGGAGAGAAGCGCGGGGGGGGGAGTGGGCGGGGCTAGAAATGAGAGGTTGAGGGAGAGAAGTGCGGGGGGGGGGAGTGGGCGGGGCTAGAAGCGAGAGGTTGAGGGAGAGAAGCGCGGGGGGGGGAGTGGGCGGGGCTAGAAATGAGAGGTTGAGGGAGAGAAGCGCGGGGGGGGAGTGGGCGGGGCTAGAAGCGAGAGGTTGAGGGAGAGAAGCGGGGGGGGGGGGGAAGTGGGCGGGGCTAGAAGCGGGGGGGGAGTGGGCGGGGCTAGAAGCGGGGGGGGGGAGTGGGCGGGGCTAGAAGCGAGAGGTTGAGGGAGAGAAGTGCGGGGGGGGGAGTGGGCGGGGCTAGAAGCGAGAAGTTGAGGGAGAGAAGCGCGGGGGGGGGAAGTGGGCGGGGCTAGAAACGAGAGGTTGAGGGAGAGAAGCGCGGGGGGGGGAGTGGGCGGGGCTAGAAGCGAGAGGTTGAGGGAGAGAAGCGCGGGGGGGGGAGTGGGCGGGGCTAGAAGCGAGAGGTTGAGGGAGAGAAGCGGGGGGGGGGAAGTGGGCGGGGCTAGAAGCGGGGGGGGGGAAGTGGGCGGGGCTAGAAGCGGGGGGGGGAAGTGGGCGGGGCTAGAAGCGAGAGGTTGAGCGAGAGAAGCGGGGGGGGGGGGGCGACGCAGCGACGACTGCAGTTACAGTCGATGTTGGCGCCCAAAGCAAAATGTCAGCGCTGCTAAGCGCTGGGGATGCAATTGACTCGGTAAAATAGACTAGTACCTGTTAAATAAGATGGGACAACTATGCGCAGTTAAATATTTTTTACCTGGTTAATAACATCTTTCCAATGATTGCTCAATGTGTACCCATCTTCACGGTTGAAGGTACGTCTGTGTTTGTATATCTGGATGGCTTCATGAACAAACCTTTGATGGTAGCCAAACGGTTTGCAGAGCACCTTGGTCTCGGAAAAAACAATATCATGAGAGCCCACAGCGTTGTAACAATGATCAGCAACGGCGGAAGAAATAGTTTTGCCGTGTTTCAGGGCAAGGACAACGAAACACAAGAAGCAGTAATGAGTGAGTGATGAGTGGCATCACCTGACTGAGAGACGCAAATCCTGAGACTCCACGTCATCATACACCTCATCTACATGGAGACACGCGGAGACACAGCCAGCACAACGTGAACCTCGTCCACTATGATACATGGAGACACACGAAGATACACGGGGACACAAAGATTCATGGAGACACGAAGAAAAAAAGAAACACGGGGATATGGAGAAATTAAAGCATGAAATCTAATCTTGATAATCACAGAGACAAAGAGAGACCCACTAGGATCATATACACATACACAGAGAGACACTTTGAGACAAAGACACATCGAGACACGGGGACAAGGAGACCCAGAGACACTCACCGTCTTCTGGAGGGACGTCTTGATCTCTGCGAGGAGACATAAGGAGACAAAACACAGACAAAGACACATTAAGGCACAGGGACACAGGGAGGCAAGTGGACACACAAAGAAATGAAGACAGAAACACATGGAGACACAGGGACACATTGAGACACAAGACAAGACAAAGATCCCCCATATAGCCTGAACGGAGTTTTGGGGCAAGTGTTGTTAGCGACCACCTATGAAGGCCAAAGCGGCACACAAGGGAGTGGGTGGCCAGCACCACGTCCAGACATATTTGTCTCCCACACACTGCACCAGGTACTCATTGAGGTTGAGTCAACCCAGGGGAGGCCCAGGACCGGTTTAGATAATCGGGGAATTGAACCCGTGTCGCCAGGTTTGTAGCTACCACTCCCAATATTGGAACACAGCTACAGACTGGGACACACTGAGACATCCAGAAGCACATTGAGACACAGGGACACACAGGGACACATTGAGTGGTATGCAAATGGTGTGTCAGTGGTGAGTGGTGTGTGTGTGGTGATTGATTTGTGAGTTAGCAGTAAGTGGTGAGTGAGCAGTGAGTCAACAGTGAGCAATGTGTGAGTGGTGAACGAGTCGTGTGTGAGTGGCGAGTGAGTGGTATGTTAGTGGTGATTGGGTGGTGGGTGGTGTGGTGAGTTAGTGATGAGTGGTGAGTCAGTGGTGAGCAGTGAGTGGGTGGGTGGAGGAGGAGTGGGTGAGTGAGTCTCACTCCTCGTCCTGCTTCTTTACGCTTCTCTTCTTATCACGTCTCAGGTTGATGCCTTTGAAGATGTTCCAGGTCTTCCCCTTTCCACCACTCACAATCACAACCACCACCAGCAATGCTACCACAACTACTACCACAACTGCCTTCACTCAAAATCACCAACACAACAACCACCACCACTACTACCACGACTATTACCACAACAACCAGTCCATTTATCCGTGTCCCCATGTCCCCGTGTCCCCATGTCCCCATATCCACATTTCTCTGCATTGCCGCTCGTCTGCATGACCCCCGTGATGCTGTGTCTCCATGTGTCCTAATGTCGCCACAGCCCCGTGTCCTTTTGTCCCCTTGTCTGCATTTATCTGCATATCCGCGTCCCCATGTCAGTATGTTTTCTTTGTGTCCGTGTCTACATAACCCCGTGTCCCCACGTACGCCTGTTTCTTTATCACCATGTCTGCATGTACCCGTATCTTAGTGTCTCCGTGTCTTCATGTCTCACCTGCTGCCTGATTCTGTCTCGTCATCGTCGGCGGATGGAAACTGATCACCTATATCGAAATCATCAACAACATCATCATCAGACACCATTAAGTCATCAACACCAACAGCAGCATCAGCATCAATGCAACTGGCCTCCCGGTTACAACTCTGGGACCCATTTTCCAATTACAAGGTCTCATGTCTCACATTTGATGTCTAATTGGTGTTTGAACATCTTAACACCTGTATTCATGCCAAAAAGTGTGAAGCCTTTTTATCATTCAATGTCTCCCTGTGTCTCCCCGTGACTCTTAATGCCTCCATGTCTTCCCGTGTCTCACTTTGCTTACCGGAAGCATTTGCTCTGAAAAACAAAAACAAAAAACATTCAGTGATCATGGCGATGGTGGTGATGATGGTAATGATGGTGTTGGTTATGATGGTGGTGGAGGTCGTAATTATGGTGATAATGATGGTATAGTGATGGTGGTTGTGGTGGTGGTAGTGATGGTGGTGGTGATGATGATGTTCGTCTCACTTCGTCTCCTCTGCCACGTCATCATAGATATCTTGGCTTGAGTCCATCTCAAGATCCAGCAGATAAGTCTCCACCAGCCCCACTACAACCACCACCACCAGTAGCACAACCATTACCACCACAACCACCACATCCACCAGGCCCACTTTAACCACCATCAGAACTACACAAGTGAGTGTTGCTTATGAGTGGTGAATGAGTGGGAAATTATGTGTTTGTGTGTGCGTGTTTCCTTGGCAGTGGTGAGAGTGGGTGGCTGTGCGAGTGGGTGGCTATGGGTGCTGAACGCCTCACCGCTCCCCGTCTCGTTCCTCACCACCCACGTGCCCTCGGGGGTGCCCGTGAGCAGCAGCACGGCGAGGCGCTCGCCCTGGCGCACGCCCAGGTCGAGGCGGCCGGACGGGGCAGAGCCGCGGCTCGCCACGGCCACGTGCAGCGCCGGCGTGTCGATGCCAACCTGCCGCCGCAGCCACAGCAGCCACAGCAGCAACAGCAGCCACAGCAGCAACAGCAGCCACAGCAGCCACAGCAGCAACAGCAGCCACAGCAGCAACAGCAGCCACAGCAGCCACAGCAGCAACAGCAGCCACAGCAGCAACAGCAGCCACAGCAGCAACAGCAGCAACAGCAGCCACAGCAGCCACAGCAGCAACAGCAGCCACAGCAGCCACAGCAGCAACAGCAGCCACAGCAGCAACAGCAGCCACAGCAGCAACAGCAGCCACAGCAGCAACAGCAGCAACAGCAGCCACAGCAGCCACAGCAGCCACAGCAGCCACAGCAGCAACAGCAGCAACAGCAGCCACAGCAGCAACAGCAGCCACAGCAGCAACAGCAGCCACAGCAGCAACAGCAGCCACAGCAACCACAGCAGCCACAGCAGCAACAGCAGCAACAGCAGCAACAGCAGCCACAGCAGCAACAGCAGCCACAGCAGCCACAGCAGCCACAGCAGCAACAGCAGCCACAGCAGCCACAGCAGCAACAGCAGCCACAGCAGCCACAGCAGCAACAGCAGCCACAGCAGCCACAGCAGCCACAGCAGCAACAGCAGCCACAGCAGCCACAGCAGCAACAGCAGCAACAGCAGCAACAGCAGCCACAGCAGCCACAGCAGCCACAGCAGCAACAGCAGCCACAGCAGCCACAGCAGCCACAGCAGCAACAGCAGCCACAGCAGCCACAGCAGCCACAGCAGCCACAGCAGCAACAGCAGCAACAGCAGCAACAGCAGCCACAGCAGCAACAGCAGCAACAGCAGCAACAGCAGCAACAGCAGCCGCCGCAGCAACAGCAGCCACAGCAACAGCAAGTGTCAAGTTGATGTTGGGTAACCCGGTGAGAACTCAAGAGGCCAAGATAGACGAGTCTCATTGGAAAAGAGACTTGGGTTACCAAGACGACAAAAACTAAACAAATGAAGAGTCACAACAATGAGGCAAATTGAAATCAAGACAAAAAGAACTGCCCGTTGAAATTGAATTAATTTAATGTGAAAAAAATTGTCTCATAAATTACTTTTAAAAAGCATTCACTGCAAAAATACTCAACATAACCTTCGTCATTCTCATGAGGCTGCTGTTGATGATGATATATGATTCTATATCTTCATCATCAGCATCATAATCATCGCTATCAGCATCAACATCACGTAGATTATAATCATGATGATGAGGCAGCTGCTGATGATCATGCTGCTGACGAGGCTGCTGCTGATGATGACACTGACGATGATGAGACACCATCATCAGTGCCATTATCAATGAGGCATCATCAACACGAACATCAACAGTCTCATCATCAGCAAGAGCAGCAGCTTATTTAGAATCATGACCATCATCATAAACATCAACTACCACCATCATGCTGATGCTGCTGCTGATAATTCTGTTAGTCTCACCTTGTATTTCTTCTTCATCTCCGTGTCTCTCCGTTCCCTCTCCTTGGCCTCCTTCTTCTCTCTCTCCGTGCGTTCACGCACCGTCTCCTCACTCAGCACACACACAACTTTACTCATCACCCGGCTATATGCACACCCGTACACTCGCACACTCACCCGTGAACTCACTCTTGTACACATGTGTAAGTGTGACTTCCACACAAATTGGTACTATTTTACAGACCCCAGAGGGGAGGGATGATGGGCGTGGTGCTGGCCACCCATCCCCTCGTGTTCTTTGTTAGCCATCACGTGTCCCTGCTCATAGCACTTGCTCCAACAGTCGACTGAAGACTACACTGGGGATCTTTGCGTACCTTTTCTCCTCTAAGTCTTCATAAAAGTCTTCATACACGTCCTGCGGGAGGGAGAGGACACAAGGCGAGTCCGAGTGAGAGTACGCGCACACACGTACGTGCACATACGTGTATGTGAGAGTTGTTTTGTACATGTGAAGTATTGGAAATGACGGCAGGAACTTCTTGACGGGTAACACACTTTTATTAAATCTTGACGTGTCACAATACAACGTGTGGTCTCTATTCTTCTGACTATACACTCCACTTAACTCGTGTAGACTCTATGCCTCTGGCTACACCCAATGCACTTGACTCGTGTAGACCCTATGCCTCTGGCTACACACCATGCATTCGACTCGTGTAGACCCTATGCCTATGGCTACACACCATGCATTCGACTCGTGTAGACCCTATGCCTATGGCTACACACAATGCATTCGCCTCTGGGTTACACAGAGTCCCGGTCCCGTTAGGACAGCGGGACTAGGTACCGCAGGGCCCTATCTCTTCATCCCCGTCTTCATTCTTCGCTGGTTACATACTGCCTTCACGCCTGTGTGCATCCCCTTTTATAGCCCCTGCTCACGGGAGACGGAGCTGATGCGGACGTCGACGTGAGCATCGCTCCTTAGTTAACCAATGACGACGCGCTATCTCTACGATCCGTTTTCCCCAGCGCGTGTTAACACTACTCAACCAATCACACCGCGCTGCCACCCGATCACTCCCTCTCAGCGCGTCACCGGCACACAGCCAATCAGCACCACGTAACCCATGACCCCGCGCTGACCCCTGATCCTCCACCGTCAGCGCGCGTCACCACATACACAGCCAATCACTACGCGCTGGCACACGATCCCTACCCCAGCGCGTATCACCACTACACATGCATACGTGTGTGCACATGAGTTTATATGTACACGCATGTGCGATTCAACTGCCGCCCCGGGAGATGGAAACGGCAACCTCTGGATCGCAAGTCCAGTTCAGATGCCCACCACCGCCACCGCTGTGGTAGCAGTGGTTGTCATGGCTGCCTTCTTGTCTCCACTAAATTCCAAACTCACCATGTTTGCTGCGAGAGACATTTGTGCAGCTAACCGGTTTGGTCATCGCAGTTACCGGCAACACAACAAACACTGGTGTCATGAACCCAGTGAGGGTGCGCGAGAGCGAGGGTGTAGGGAAGGGGGCGCAGAGCCCCCTGTGTTACCTGCTGCTGCTCCTCGACTTCGGCGGCCGGGGCTTTGCCTCTGGTGGAACTGGCTGCAAGTGTGGGGGGTATGGGGAGACACAGGGAGACACGGCGAGACAGAGAGACACGAGGATAAGGGGAGACATAACGAGACAAGGACTCGGGGAGACATGGCGTGATAGGGACCCAACGAGACACGGGGAGATACGGGGACATGCGGGGAATCACAGAGAGACACCATTAATTAGCAGAGAGGAAACCCAGATGACATCAGGTGGGATATGTCTGACCAGCTCAGGGAAGCTCAGCAGGTGTGAGCCTGGAGAATCTCGGATGGGCAACCACCATGTATAACAGGTACTATAGGCTGCTGCTGCTACTGTTACTGCAGAACTACGTGTGGAATAGTGGCGCAGCAGTTAGCAGCGACCCGAGTTTGATTCCTGCTTACGACTCAGCCTCAAAATGAGTACCTGGTGTGGTGTGTAAACATCGCCACTGGGGAGACAAAGGCAGCCAGGCGTGGTGCTGGCCACCCACCTCTTCGAGTTCCGTGCCGGCTTTCATAGGTGCTCACGAAAAGCACTTGCCCCAACAGACTGTTAAAGGCTATATGGGGAACTTTGTATTTGTATGTGCAAGTGGGGAGCAGTGGTGCAGTCGTTAGCACGCTGCGCTACAAACTCAGAGACCCGAGTTCAATTTCCCCCCACGTCCAACATCAGAGGCAATATTTTGCTTGATTCACTAACTGGTGCGATGTGTACGCATCACCACTGGGGAGACAAAGGCGGCAGGGGTGGTTCCGGCCACACCACCCCCTCGTGTGCCATGCCAGCTTTCATAGGTGCTCACTAACAGCACTTGACCCAAGAGTCAATTCAGCCAATACGGGGGATCTTTGTCTTTATGCACACGCATGCCCCCCACGTACCAGGCACCTCCGGTCTCGGTGTGGGCAGAGGGGGTGCGGTGCCCCTGCCGGGCAGAGCTGGCCCCATCATCCAGGTTGGGGGGCCAGGCAGCTCCACGTCATCATAGTTCTCCTCCACCAGTTGCGCCCTGAGCACACAAAACACACACACACACAAAGGTCCCCGTATAGCCTCAAAAGACATTTGGGGAGTGTGTCACACTGAGACCCACAGATGCACATAGAGGCCCATAGAGTCCCACATATGCTAACCCTAATCCGTCGTGACTCAAACACTCCATTGCCCTGACTGGCGAGATAAAGCATACTCTACCCTCGCGTCGTCGGGCGGCCCTCACCCCGCAGTGAATTGACAAATGGGCTGTGTGTACGGTACTCACGTTGGGACCGTTGCCTTGGTTATGAGTGTCATGGTGGCCGGGAGAGAAGGGGGAGTGGCTCCCATTGCTCCTAGCAATGAGGGGGGGGGGTGTTACCCACAATGCTATGCTGGAGAAAGAACGGCCATTTTGCATGCTTAACATGAGCAGCATTATCCATACAATTCATCAGCAGCAATATGAATAGTAGTAGCAGCAGCATCTCCACCATCAGCAGCAGAATCAACAGCAGCAGCATAAGAATCATCAAAATCACCAGCATCATCAGCTTTGATAATTATCATGAGCACCATCATCATTAGCAGAAGCAGCAGTACCACCACCATTACCACCATCACCGGTACCATCACCACCCCCATCACCACCACCATAAACCACAACAACAACAAATAAGGGAGGGCATAACTGGCCAAGAATACCCAAAGCTTTGTGTGGAGTGATAGGCCAGGTAGCTTCCACACAGCGTTACAAAGCAGGTCATTAACGATTGTGAGTAGAGGGTCAGGGACCCCAAAAGCATGAATAATAACCCAGAGCCCTAGTCTATTGATTGTATCAGACTTTGACCAGGTAAATAAGGCAGAGAAGTTCTGTTTAAATTCTATACACCTCTGCTGTAGTAGACGGATGGAGAATATGGCATCCATGCAGGAACGCCCCAGCCTGAAACCATATTGGGGCTTTGCAAGCCTCTCCTTAGCTTGCCTGGGCCACAAGGGCATCATTCCAATCCTGCAGAATCCGTCCTGTGTCCAGACAATTGTAATGATGTCAAACAGAGCAGCCTGGAGACCAATACGACCCTCCCTCAGCAGTTTGCTTGGGAGATCATCTCTGCCCGACGCTGATCCTGGACTCAGGCGCTGAATCGCCTTTTTGCACTTGTTCAACAGATGGTACCTCAGACTGCCACTCACAGGAGGTCGCTACTTCTTCAAATATTTGAGGCATAGAAGCTCCAGCAGGGTCAACCCCACCTTGCCCCATGATATTATCTGAACTGAGGAGTTTTTCTTCCCCCAATACCTCACATCACCACCATCGGCACCACCACCACCACCACTATCATCAACACCACTATCATTACCACCACCACTATCATCGACACCACTATCATCATCCACAACAACATTTCCACTACCCTCACCATCACCACCTCCACCGCTGTTCTTACCTCGCGTGGCCACTTGAGCCCGGAATCGGCTCAGCTCCACACTTGGAGGTCGCGCCGGTTTCTTTGGCGCCTGGCCAAGCAGTAACGGCTTTGGCAGCACCTTGCGAGGGGGTGCAGGCCCCCTCAAGAATCCCGCGGGACCTCCATTGGCCTCCTGTGTGAGCTGAGCAGGGGAGAAGGTGTCAGCGGTGGATCTTTTTCCGGGTCCTCCGGTTTTTCCCTCCACATTTAGAATTATGCGTCTAGATGATTTGGCTGATATACATTTCCACATGATAAGCCACTTCATTGAGCTATAATTTGTGGCCAAGTCACTCATATTGGCGCATTCCCTGTCCCAAACTCATTAAAATGCAAATCAATTTATAACATATTTGACATGAGTTTTTCTGGATTTTTTGTTGTTATTCTGTCTCTCACTGTTCAAATAAACCTACCATTAAAAGTATAGACTGATCATTTCTTTGTCAGTGGGCAAACGTACAAAATCTGCAGGGCATCAAATACTTTTTCCCTCACTGTAACTAGTTTTGCACAGCACTCAAAATCAATTGAGTATCCTTGTTGGAACGCGTGTTCTGCCACTGCCAACAGTTTTATTTGTATTTAATATTCCTTTGGTGTTCTTTTAGTCTCGTGCTGATCATTCGTCCTGTCTGACCCACATAGCATTTTCCACAAGAGCAATTAATCCGGTATTGGCAAGTTCTGTTTACGTGACAAACCTTACTTATTGGCTGTGTCGGTTGGTGGCGGGTTTGACGACACATTTATATCTACGCGATCTCACCGAAAAAAAAACCCTCTATTGTTGATATTGGTTGCAAAAGCCTACATGTTAAACGCGCTAGCTAAATGTACAAGGAATGCTGATGATATATACCGCTGATGATGTTAATCTCTCACCGTTCCTCCCGAGGTCCCTGCTCCTCCCCTCTTCCACCTCTTCTCCCCTCCCTCCTCCTCCTTCCCGCCGGTCCTCCCTCCACTCTTCACACTCGCGATTTGAGCCCTCAGCTTTGCTGCCAGTGGAGACACTGCCGGCGGAGCCCCGCCCCCTCCCAGCGTAGTCCCGCCCCCTCCCAGCGTAGTCCCGCCCACCCCCGATGTTGCCCCGCTCACCGCGCTGCCAAACCTGCCGACACCCACCCCAACGCTGGCCCCTCCCACTGCGGGCCTAGCTCCGCCCGTATCATCCGAGGCCACGCCCACCCGGTTGCCGCCAAACTTGGCTCCACCCCCTCCGAATTTGACCCCGCCCCCGACGCCGTCGCCGCTGCTGCAGGCGGAGGCCGCGTTGTCGCCCTCTTTGGCCCCACCTACTCCATCCGTAGCCCCGCCTGTCACAATCTTAGCTCCGCCTACTCCTTCAAATTTGGCCCCGCCCCTTCCTCCAAATGAGGCACCTCCATCTGCCTCATTAGAGGCACCGCTCCCCCCGGGTTTGGCTCTGCCTGCAACGTCCATTGGCACGCCCACTCCAAACTTCGCTCCACCAACACCCCAAACTTTGGCCACGCTCACTCCTCCGAATTTGGCCACGCCCCTTCCCATGCCTCCTGCCCCATCCGAGGGGCCGCTCACTTCGTACGGCGTCTCCCCCACACCTGATTTGGCCCCTCCCACTTCTGGCTTAGCTCCGCCCATACCCCACATTTTGGCCCCGCCCACCGCTTCAGAGGCCCCGCCTACTCCAAACTTTGCTCCGCCTCTTCCAAACTTGGCCCCGCTGACAACTTCTGAGCCCCCTCCCCCATCTGTAGCCCCGCCCACCTCGGATGAAGCCCCGCCCACCCCTCCAAACCTGGCTCCGCCCCTTCCGGTGAAGCCAACCCCCACACCACCCCCTCGTGCAGAAGCCCCGCCCCTTCCAGGGAAGAAGGGGGAGGAACCGGAGAGTTTGGGTCCCGCGGAGAGGGGAGGCTGGGGCACGGAGGTGGCCCCGCCCCCCGCCTCCTCATTGTTGAAGCACGCCATGAGCTTCTTGATGTCAGGGGCCGCCTGAGAAACACGCACACCACACACACCATGAAGACACCACACACGCCATGGACACCACATGCCCCACGCATGCCACGCACACACCACACGCGTCATGCACGAGGTGCGTTGCACGCTTACTGGTATAATCGGCTGTCAGTTCCCAGTCACCGGTAATCGTTTCCAGTATAATGTCAGAAACGAATGCACCGATGGGCACTGCGCATGGACGTACAACCCGCATGGTAGCCCAAGTCACCGCTGGTTACATTTCTCCCCGTTTCTCCGTTAAAAGGTACAGGTGTGTCCCTGTAACGGCCTTGTGTGATGCCGCAGCCGCGAAGCCGCTCTGCGGGCGGCCCACCTACGACCCCCTCACCAACCCGCCACACAAACACTCACACACCCCCACATACAGCCTCGCGGGGAAGTCGCCTGGCCCACAGGTTTTCACCCAGGAGCCCCCCCCCTCGTAGGGGGGGACATTCTCCACGGTTTTCCCTGAGGCTTTCCCCAGGCTGAATTACACTGCGGCGCCGTGGATCAACGTGGAAGCACAGGATCACGACGAGGCTACGCAGCCACCGCGGATAGAAAACACACACGACACACACGGATCAGCGGGCAGAGAGGGGGCGGAGCCACGTACGGCGGGAAAACGGGTCGCCCCTTTAATGTAGAAGGCAAAATGCGGACGTCGCTGAGATCAACGGTCCGAGTAGAACTAGAGTACAGGTGAGCGATCTGATTGGCGGAAAAGCCCAGCGATCTCATTGGCCAGCGGGTCGGCGCCAAGTTATCTTTGATGTAGGTGAAAATAAAAGGGCCGTAGAAAGGGCAAGAGGCTCTCTTCTGCTCAAGTGGAGATCGGGGTAGTCACCTAGCCGGCCACTGGAACGTCCGTGAGACGTGTCTCAGCGCAGCCAGGCCCCAGGAGGACTCTGTGCAACCTCACCCCTCCGCGGCTCCCCACACATCCGAGGAGAACCATGAGTAAGAGAGAGAGTTGGGATTTAGCTTAAAAGCCAAAAGGAGTTTAAGTCCTAACAGACTAGGTAAACCGGGTTCAGACCATCGGGAGATAGGTTAGTCCTGCCTTGCTGATTCCGACTGATTCGGTGAGAGTGACTCGCAGACGCGCCGAGAATAAATCGTTAGTAATTGATCACAGCCTCGTGTGAATTCTACGAGTGTGAGGGAAGTGCATGGTGGTGTGTGTGCGCTCGCCGTAACGTGTATGGCTCGGCGCACAGCGTCCCGGTGGAAGAAACGCTGTGCCCGCAGGACTCCGCGAGTGCGCGTCTCGTCCTGTGGCCCCTGACCTCCGCGCTGCGTGTGTGTGCATAGGCGTGAACGACGGGTTAATGCGCGGATCTGACCCTCTATTCGGTTATCATTATGCTTGCGCTGCGTTAACTGTTTAGCGTGTGCCCACGGTGAGCGACGGCAGACTCGCACGGGTACACGTGTGATTATTCATACGGCTTTGGTTTAGTGCGTGCCCACGGGGGGTGTTGAAAGTGCGTGGTGGTGTGTGTGTGCGCTCGCCGTCACGTGTGAGGTCGGTGCTTCCGCGGGTGCACGCTTCGTTCTGTGGCTGCGGACACCTGTGCTGCGTGCGGGCTCACACCCACCGCGATCACCCGCCCCCACGGCCCTTTAAACGAGCGCTATCAACCGCCCACGGCGGCCGCGCGTGTACGAGCGACGTCACTGCCCTCCGACCTCTGACCCCCCATTCAGCGCGTGTGATTGGTGCGCGGGGTCGTGAGAGCGGAGACGTCACGTTTGAGTGGCGGTGCGTACACGTGCGAGGGCCGTGGTGTCCCAAGGGAGTCTCCTACTAATGTTTGAGGGGATGCACTTGGAGAGTGGGGGTGAATGGCCCGAGGTGGCCCAGGGTCAGCCAGGGGGGAAACGGCAGCAGCGAGGGAAGAAGGAGAGGAGAAAGGGGGAGAGGAATCGGGGGCCAACAGCCCTGACACTTGCTCACGTCACAGCTGGCGGAAGGTCACCCACTCGGCGGAGCTAAAACTATTCCACACCTACCAGACGACTTGGAAGAGGTAGGCATACCCACATTTTACCCCACCACATGCGACCTGCCGATCGACGTGATGTTTCTGTCGTGACCCACCAGTCGATCGTACGGGGCATGTGTTTACTGCGAGGGAGAGCGGGGCAATGGCAGTGGGTGGCCAGGTGGAGCAAGGAGGAGGACTTTGCTGGGCTGCGGGGGGGGGGTGCTGCTGCACGTGGTCGCCTGTAAACCAGCACTGTAGCGGCAGCAGCGAAGGTGGAGGCAGTACAGGAGACCCTTGAATATTATCTTGGGGGTTACGTTCTTGGAAAGTGACGCGAAAGCCAAAACCGTGATATTCAATACTTAAGAAGCCTTACCTAAATAATGTGGTTCGGTACACGACTATGCAAATTCAAATAAGAACTGTATTAAATCTTCTTCTTCTTCTTATATATAAAAGTCTCCGCGCGTTCGCGCTTGCGGGGGATTTGGCTCTCGGACGGTGGGGTTTAAGACCGAAATAATTTGCCAGCCGGCATGCCCTAAGCCCCGTGGTGGGAATAGGCTATTCCGTTTTCCCATCCGTAAACTTTAAAGTAGTTTAATTAACACATTTGTGCCGTTTCTATTATTCAATATTTACTTATTGCACGACATCGACCGTACCAACTGACGACAATTGCGTGGGGGGGACGGACCCTACCAAGTGCTGCGAGTTCACTCGAGCTCACGGGGGACATTTTCTTTTACGCGTTTTACAGCCAACACGTACACACATAACGCTGCGGACATTTCTTCACAGTGTCATGTCCTCTTCGCCCCCCCCCCCCCCAACACGATGCGTCCAGTTTATACTACAGACTCCGTAGATAATAATATTTTACTGCTTACATAGCATTATTCTTGTACGGGCAGGGGATGCTGGGGAGGGGGGGTAGCGGCCCAGCCCCGAGCCTGCAACGTGCCAACTCCGCCGCCTCGCCAATGTAGGCCAGGAGGGGGGGCTACGCATGGCACAAGGCCTCAACACGCCTATGATAAGTACAAATGTCCTTGCTTCTTACGCTAACAACTCAAGCCCATTGTTTACTATTGTTAAACACATTAGTTGACAAACATTACAGATAACAACTCAGGTTCATTGTTTACCATTATGAAACAAATTGACATGTTACAATAATTATGTTCGTGTACACAAAACTGTTTTTGGATTTTTGGGTCGCTCAATTTCCCCTTTTTTTGCTGCGCTTTTATAACGCTGCCACGGTCTACTGCCAGTCTGTGATTTCTGCTTATTTCTTCAATGCATTTCTATTGTTTCCATCGCTTGCGTCACGCTATTTACTCATACGTAGTACTGCGATACTGATAGCTGTGCCATCATCGGGGATTGCTGTGTCCGTCGATGTGTGTGTGTGAGTCCATGTGTGTATATTTGAGTCCATGTGTGTGTGTTCATCCATGTCTGTGTATCTCAAGTAGTTGTCTGTGTGTCACATGTGTATGTGTGTACGGCTGTGTGTATGTCAGTCTATGTATGTATGTGTGTGAGTCGCTGTATGTGTACGTCCATATGTGTGTGTAACTCCATGTGTGTGTATCTCAAGTGGATGTCTATGTGTGTGTCAGTCCATATGTGTGTGTGTGTCTGAGTCCATGTGCGTGTGTGTTAGTTGCTGTGTGTGCATGCCTCCATGTTAGTCAGTGTAAGTCCATTTCTTTGCGTGTTTGTAGGCCCATGTGTACGTCTTAGTCCATGCGTGTGCTTTATTGACCTGCTCAAGGCCTATGATACCATCAGTAGGCCTGGCCTCTGGGTTGTTCTTCGTGCTTTCAGAGTCCCGAACCCACTGCTCACCATCCTTAATGACCTTCATGATGGTGAGCGGCCCCGCGTCAAACTACGTGGCTGTGAGTCAGAGCCATTCCCTGTACACCTTGGGGTGCAACAGGGATGTCCTCTGGCTCTCACATTATTTTACATATATTTGGACCACGTAGTTCCTGAAGCCTTCAATGGCTGTACCGGAACAATTTCCATCTAGTACAGATACAATGGGAGGCTGATCGATGCCCGGGTGCGGTCAAGGGATGCCCTATTGCTCAACCACGTTATGTATGCCGATGATCTGCTAATTGCTGCTCACTCGGAGGAGGAGTTTGAGGTGCTGCTGCTGAACCTGGAGCTTGCCACCAAGAGGTGGGGCCTTACCATCAGCCCCACCAAAACTAAGCACCTGCCTGGGTATTTTCTACCATCGGACACTCCACCCCCACAACTCCCAATTGGTGATGGGGCAGTTGTGGAGACAGTGGAGAGTTTCCCTGGGCAGTGTGCTTATGACCGGCTCCGGTTTAACAGCAGAGTTCTCACTCCGAATCAGTCGAGCTGCAGCATATTTTCATTGGCTGCGTAACGCTGTGTGGAAGCTACCTGGTCTATCACTCCGTACGAAGCTTCAGGTCTTCTCGGCCACGGTCATTCCCTCCGTTCTCTACGCTTGCGAAACTTGGACCCCCCTAATGGAACATCTTCGCCGGTTAGAAACATTTAGGCTGGCCTGCCTATGATCCATCCTGGGTTTAACCAGGCTGCATTGTGTGAGGAGCTCACAAATCCTTCAAAGATGTGTGGGGGTAGAGATAGGTGGTGGCGTTCACCCTCGCTGGGTAGAGGGCAGGTGCACACCAGCTGGCATGACGGGAGAGTGGCGTGGCTCTTCAGCGCAAAGTCGGCAGGCGACTGACCATCAGAATGTAAGTACGGCAAATGTAAATATGTGGATAAGCAAGCTACATAGGTTATGCGTAGGAGAATGGTATTTTAAAGTGCACTCTACCCCTATCACGACTCCATTCTGAGACATTCCACTATCACTACCTCCAACCCTATCACTACCCTCACTCCAATCACTATTTGCACCCCGATCACTATTTGCACCCCGATCAATACTCCACCTGTTTCAGTAGCTCTACAGTCTACCCCTATCAGTAGCCCTTCCCCGATCACTACCCCGATCACTCACTCTCCAAACCTCCGATTAGCACGATTGGTTATGTACGGTGCAAAAGTTCATTACCCCTATCACTTGTCATACGTTATCACTACCCCAATCACTACCCATACCCCGATCACTACCCCGACTCCTATCACGACTCCCCACTTCCATCGCGAGCCTTAAACTTATCAATAGCCCTACCCCTCCCCCGGCTCCCATAGCTGTAGCCCTCGCTCTTCTCGCCGCGGTTTCTGCCGTTTCCCTGTTCTACAGGAAACTTGCCCTTCCTCTCCCGACCCCCACACACGAGGGCGCCAGGGGGTGTGTGTCTCCGTTAGATCCACTGAGCCTGAAACGAGTGCTGTACTACCTGCTGCGGAGTAAATCATCGGCGCAGGGATACAAAGGCGGCTGGCCTTCATAGTTGCTTGCTAACCGTACTTTCCCCAACAGTTTGTGTAGGCTAGACGGGGGATTTTTGTCTTTTTGTGTACGTACACTGAATAAGTACTGTCCTGTTGTCTCTCCCGGTACTCGCCAGGGCGTCTGTCTCCGACTGCTGCCGAGTCGTTCCACCTTCTCGGTGTCGTTCCACCTTCTCGGTGTTGTTCCACCTTCTCGGTGTTGTTCCACCTTCTCGGTGTTGTTCCACCTTCTCGGTGTCGTTCCACCTTCTCGGTGTCGTTCCACCTTCTCGGTGTCGTTCCACCTTCTCGGTGTCGTTCCACCTTCTCGGTGTCGTTCCACCTTCTCGGTGTCGTTCCACCTTCTCGGTGTCGTTCCACCATCTCGGTGTTGTTCCACCTTCTCGGTGTTGTTCCACCTTCTCGGTGTTGTTCCACCATCTCGGTGTTGTTCCACCTTCTCGGTGTTGTTCCACCTTCTCGGTGTCGTTCCACCTTCTCGGTGTCGTTCCACCTTCTCGGTGTCGTTCCACCATCTCGGTGTTGTTCCACCTTCTCGGTGTCGTTCCACCTTCTCGGTGTCGTTCCACCATCTCGGTGTCGTTCCACCTTCTCGGTGTCGTTCCACCTTCTCGGTGTCGTTCCACCTTCTCGGTGTCGTTCCACCTTCTCGGTGTCGTTCCACCTTCTCGGTGTCGTTCCACCTTCTCGGCGTTGTTCCAAGAACGCAACTTCTCTCTGCCTCTTTACGAACGTTTCAGTTTCATTTGCTCCGTCGTCGGGCGGCAGCGCGGTGGTGACACTTGCACCTCACAGCCACAATCACCTGGGTTCGATTTCCAACTCGGGCACCCCCTTGTGTGGAGTTTGCATGTCCTCACCTTGTTCTGCATGGGTTTCCTCCCATAGCTAAAAACAACACGCACAATGTAACTGGTATTGGCCAAACATCGTAATGCTGAACAATTGCCTGCAATTTACTCAATTGGGATCACACAGAACAATATCAACATCACCCTGCGGAAACTTGACAGGACCCTCCTGAAAGGGAGTGTCGAGAGTTATGTGAGGAAATTATAGAACCCGGAGGAGAACCACGCAGAACTGAGGGAGAAATTACAAACTCCACAGAGACAGGCGCCCGAGTCGGGAGTTGAGCCCTGGGGCTTGTGGCTGTGTGGCGCACGTGTCACCCTCTGCGCCACCCCTCTGCCGCCCATGTCATGAGATTGATCCTCGTGTCTCCCTTCAACAATCGCCCTCGGTGTATCTGCCGAATGTTCTAGTCGTGTCTCCCTCCAATCGCCGCCGCCAGTGTTGAGCGAACTCACTGGCATCGTACTCGAACACTGCTCTTCTCTATCCTGAGCCGCATTTTGCAAGCATGAAATGTTAAGTTCCCCTCTCGTTTCCTGCTGTTAAATTCTATCGCTTGCAATAAGGACCCGGACTGTTAGAAGAGTTCCTTTTTACGGTACCGATAACCACATGGAAAACACCTCGAAAAACCCCGGCTATCGCCACACATCTACAATGTCGATAGCGACAACGCACTCGGCTTTGAACTGAGAAATAAGAGCAGCTGCCACCGCGGTGGTGGTGGTGGAGGTAGTGGGCAGAAGAAATTGACTCACAATCCAGAGGTCGCCGGGACCCACCGCATCTCGGCGCGGCGGTTGTGACCCACTGGGGCCGCTTCCTCAACCCGCCAGCGCTCGTGTGCCCCAGGCAGTGTCCGTGGGTGCAGTCGATCGGCAGGGCGCATGTGCTGGGGGGTAAGATGTGGGTACGTCCACCTCTTTTACTCAAATTACACTGTAAACGGATTCCTGACTTTAGGAAACAGTTATCGATTCTCAAAACGGTTATCGATTCCCGTTGAACCAGCCTCGTCAATTCCGATTGTTATAACATTCTGTCGAGATTTATACTTAATCTACAGCCTTTGATTAATCCACTGCTGCCTGAAGGCCTCCCCGCACCATGTTTGACAATTCTTCCTGATGCTGGTCATTGTGAGCTCATGGTGAAGGGAACCCCTTCAGATATCACTCGCCACTGATGTTAGCCGTGGCCAGGCATCAAACGAAGGTAACTTCCTCGTGTTTATATGTCTTTACATAAATGGCAACGTACTGTACTGCTCAATGAGCAATGAAGCATCAGTGCTCCTCTGTTTACAACCCTGCAGCAGCCCCAGTGGTGGAAGTTCCACATTCCTCTGGCGGGGGGCGCGTCTATCCATAGGACAACCGCGTTTTACTTCCCCACAAAGTGGTACTCAACCACGGTTCTAACTCCCGCAACCTTCCGATTGCAAGCTGCTCGCTCTGCCACTGAGCACGGTGTGTTTAAGAGGAACAAACCCTGACCACCACCACCATCACCACCACCATCACCACCACCACCATCACCACCATCACCATCACCACCGCCATCACCACCACCATCAGCAGCAGCACCGCGCAGCAACAGGCAGCGGCGAGGTGACCGCTGCCGTCATGCGCGTGATGGCAGCGGTCATGAATTCAATATCGAGGTCTGCTGCTGCTCGCCACGGGGAGAGGGCTTCGGCGGAGAGAGTTCGTTGGGCGCTGCCGCCCGTCCACACGCGTCACTCAGCGGACACCTCCTGACATGCACGTGGACCTTGGTGTCTCCACACCAAGATCCACGTGTCGCCTTCACAGGCTGTTGGGACAAGTGCTGTTAACAAGCACCTATGAAGGCCGACACGGCACACGAAGGGGTGGGTGGCCAGCACCCCACGCCCGGCCGCCTTTGTCTCCCCAGTGGCGATGTTTACACACCGCACCAGGTACTTATTTGCGGCCGAGTCGACCTAGGGGTTCGTAGCGCGACGCGCGACCCGCGAGACACGAACACTTCACATCTTCAAACGGAGTTCTTGCTCGGACGCGCATCGAGACGTCCAAACTAATCTCCCACAGCCCTGAGCCGTGGTGGAAATTCCGCATTCCCAGGGCGGGGACGAGTTTCCCCGTAAAACAACCGTTATTGACTTCCCCACACTTGTTTACATTGTGTACACACAGACACAACAACCACATGTGTTTACATTGTGTACACACAGACACAACGACCACACGTGTTTACATTGTGTACACACAGACACAACGACCACACGTGTTTACTAAGTCGCGGTGACATCACCACTACGCCTGTGCCAGGCTAGATGCACACACATACGCTTCCACACATAGTCTACTTATATACACACACACACATACTTACATATGCACTCATACATACACTCGTACACATACACACAAGGTACACATACACATTGCTACACAAATACACTAATTAGAGCATGGGCAACAGTTGTGACTGTAAGAGCTGTTAGTAGCGGAGACCGCTACACTCACCATGATCTTCACTTCCCAAGCGACTCGCATCTGAGGGGCGGGGCCATATCTAGAGGGGGCAGGGTGGGCGTGAGGGGCGGGGCTAGTGAAGTGAGTGGGGGAGGGGAATGAGGGGCGGGGCTAGTAAAGTGGGGGGTGGACGTGAGGGGCGGGGCTAGTAAAGTGGGGGGGGGGTGGACGTGAGGGGCGGGGCTAGTAAAGTGGGGGGGGGGGGTGGACGTGAGGGGCGGGGCTAGCAAAGCGGGGGGTGGACATGAGGGGCGGGGCTAGTAAGTGGGGGGGGTGGACATGAGGGGTGGGGCTAGTAAAGTGGGGGGTGAACGTGAGGGGCGGGGCTAGTAATGTAGGGGGGTGGAAATGAGGGGCGGGGCTAGTAAGGAATCGGGATCTGTATTTAGACTGCAGGAGGAATCCGATGAGCTATGAAGCTCGTTTTACAGTTCTCCAGTACTGGCGGGTCAGAACATTACAACGATAGGAGTGCAAAGTATAGGAAAGGTAAACAAATCACTTTAATAAATATATTTTTTTTCATCTGACCAGGTAAAGCCCACTGACTGAGCGATTAGCTTGTTTTTTTTTTATCAGAAGCGGCCTGGCCACAAATGATAGCTCAACAAAGTTGCCTTATTACGTGGAGATTTATAGCATAAAAATACTCTAAATAATCTAGACGCATGATGCAAAATGCGGAGGGAAAACTGAAGGACCTGGAGAAAAATCCACGCGACCACGAGAAGAACATACAAACTTCAAATACACAGGCGTTCCGGTTGGGATCGAACCTCCGATTCTCCTCCATACCTGGCTGAGGAAGATAACGTCACACCACCGTGGCGCCCCTTGACTAAACAAAGTATTGACGTTACAATTGCATCATCAATTCCCAAGCTTGGCGAAGGCAGTTAAAACAGCAGCAAACACAGTCCCAGACCACACCAAGACAACGTACAGTCCCTCAATAAAAGTGGACATTAAAATGTTACTATCGATACATTAAGAATCTAATTTACAAATCACATTTGGTAATGTGGCTGTATCCAGATGGGAAAAGGAATGGGCGGGGCTATGTGAGTGGGTGTGAAGATAATATTCGTACAGTACAGTAATACGAATCAAGATTACGGTAATAACATTGATGCTTACTTAAAGGTCACACGGACGGAGTCTGATTAGTCATTTTGAGGAGGGTCCCCGCTTTGGGTTTTTGTCATGAATTATTTCAGCAAATCAATGATAAGTGTGTATTGTACGTGGGCGGAAACCGCAGTGCTCGTACAGGAAACCCACGCGTGCGAGGGAGCAACCCTCGATCCCCAGAGAGGCGGCTGCTCCCCACGGGGCGGAGCGAGGCCTGGACCGCAGGAGGCTGGCGAGATGCTCCCATCTCAGGCTGGCCCTTCTCCTCACTGCATCATTCATCATCATCGCCGCTCCAGAGGAGAGTGGTGCGGTGTGTTTTACACCTTGACCGATTGGACAGGACGGGTCCGTCGTCATCATTTGGCGATAATTACCAACCATAAAACGTAACTATCAAGGAGTTTAGAGATGTTTCAGGAAAGGAAATGCTGCTCTGCAATCCAAATGTAGCGATATGCAGGTAATTTGGAGGTACATTTTCAGCATTGGGATACTTGGCCAATACGAGTTACACTGTGTGTGTTCTTTTTAGCCCTGGAAAGAAACCGCAGATGCCATGCCCAGCAGAGGGGAGGGAGAGAACAACCCACACACACGAACCCATGCCCAGCAGAGAGAGAGAGAACAACCCACACACACGAACCCATGCCCAGCAGAGAGAGAGAGAACAACTCACACACACGAACCCATGCCCAGCAGAGAGAGAGAGAACAACCCACACACACGAGCCCATGCCCAGCAGAGAGAGAGAACAACCCACACACACGAACCCATGCCCAGCAGAGAGAGAGAGAACAACCCACACACACGAACCCATGCCCAGCAGAGAGAGAGAGAACAACCCACACACACTCTGCGCGCTGAGAGGCGCCCTGGTCAGGAGCCCAGCCCAGGCGCTTGTGGGGCGCGAGTGTTGCCACGGCGCTGGCGCCCAAGAGCAAAGTTCCACTTCCCCCTTCCCCACAAAGACATCGCGTGTAGCCTTCACATTACAGTGTGTGTGTGCAGTGTGTGTGCAGTGTGCAGTGTGTGCAGTGAGTGTAGTGTGCAGTGTGTGCAGTGTGTGTGTGTGTGCAGTGTGTGTGTGTGTGCAGTGTGTGTGTGCAGTGTGCAGTGTGTGTGTGTGCAGTGTGTGTGTGTGTGTGCAGTGTGTGTGTGCAGTGTGTGTGTGTGCAGTGTGTGTGTGTGCAGTGTGTATGCGCAGTGTGTGTGTGCAGGTGTGCAGTGTGTGTGCAGTGTGTGTGTGCAGTATATACTGTCAGAGCATGTTTTGATTCCTTGCAAAAGGTTTCAGTTTGGTCCTTTAACATCTTAAGAGCTGTTTTGTTGCCAGAATAAAGGGGGAAACCTATTCTATTATATTTTGACACCGGCAAAGGAGGCCCCATGATGTAGCCGTGACATTGTTTGGGCAAGTGCTGCTGTCCGTGAGCGCCTCTGAAGGGGGTTGGGGGGGGGGCCGGCACGCGGCGGAGTGGGCGACCAGAAGCACGCACAGCCGCCGAGCGCCGTCTCCCGAGTGGCGATGTTTAGTTGTTGACACAGCGCACCAGGTGCTCGTCTTTTGAGGCTGGATCGACCTAGGGGAGCCCCAGGACCAGTTAAAATAATCACCATTTGTACCGCATTGACCGTGAGCGGGAATTGAACTCGGATCGCGGGGCTCTCACCACGACACACGCACCTGCTGCCCGCGAGCCCAACACCAACACCCATGAGCCGAGTAATTCACCAACACCCATGAGCCGAGTAATTCACCAACACCCATGAGCCGAGTAATTCACCAACACCCATGGACCGAGTAATTCACCAACACCCATGGACCGAGTAATTCACCAACACCCATGGACCGAGTAATTCACCAACACCCATGGACCGAGTAATTCACCAACACCCATGAGCCGAGTAATTCACCAACACCCATGGACCGAGTAATTCACCAACACCCATGGACCGAGTAATTCACCAACACCCATGAGCCGAGTAATTCACCAACACCCATGGACCGAGTAATTCACCAACACCCATGGACCGAGTAATTCACCAACACCCATGAGCCGAGTAATTCACCAACACCCATGGACCGAGTAATTCACCAACACCCATGGACCGAGTAATTCACCAACACCCATGGACCGAGTAATTCACCAACACCCATGGACCGAGTAATTCACCAACACCCATGAGCCGAGTAATTCACCAACACCCATGGACCGAGTAATTCACCAACACCCATGGACCGAGTAATTCACCAACACCCATGAGCCGAGTAATTCACCAACACCCATGGACCGAGTAATTCACCAACACCCATGAGCCGAGTAATTCACCAACACCCATGAGCCGCGTTATTCGCCTCCCGTGGCGTGCGGCCCCATCTCCAAGTAAATACGAGGGTGTTGCCCAAAGGCAATAAGCGACAGGCAATTAGAAATCGTCAATAGTTAATGCACCATCGGTAATGCGCGATCTGCAATATGCAATACACAAAACGGAATAAGCAACAATAGACGATCCACAAGGGGCAATACGGAAATTACAATCCGCAATGGGCTAAAGCTTGCGTCCAGATTCTTTGTAAACAAAGGCGGAATACAGAATCAAGCCGAGACATGCAGACAAACGCCCTGACACAGTGAGACACAAGAAGACACACGCAGACACACGCGGTGTCTTCACTTTCTTGCGTTGATGTTGTGCTGTTCACTTGACATGAATAACACCGCTCATTCGTGTTGAGTTAATCCCCTTTTCCCCCCTTTAATGTAAAATCATCTTTTGGAAGGTCCCAGAAGGGACGGGGATGTACCAGCAACACGATTCCCGCCATGAGTGTGTGGCGGGAGTCGTGCTGCTGGAACAATAAGGTCCCCTTACCAGTCCTCGTGTGGACTCCATCCACTTACATGCAGAGACACGGTGAGACATGGAGACACGTGGGGACACGGAGATACGTGGACACATACACGAGGAGACACGGAGCCATGCACCTGGTCGCGAGAGTAGTCCGGTTGTCTCGGATCCTGTGAAAAAGTTTCCACTTCGATTCAGCTGGACAAGTTTCCATAGTGTACCCCAATCAAGTGTGTTTATCCATAGTGTACCCCACCATCAAGTGTGCGTGTTTATCCATAGTGTACCCCACCATCAGTCAAGTGTGGGTGTTTATCCATAGTGTACCCCACCGTCAAGTGTGTTTATCCATAGTGTACCCCAGTCAAGTGTGCGTGTTTATCCATAGTGTACCCCACCATCAAGTGTGCGTGTTTAAATCTTGACTTAAAGCTTTCGTGACTACAGGAATGCATACTCTTTAGGTCTTTCGGTAAAATCACGTAGATTGAAAAATAGTAATAATAATACATAAAACACAACGTTTCGATCGCAACACGAGCAATCGTCTTCCGGTGGAAAAACACAGCAGGCGGACTGCTGAGTCCACACGAGGACTGAGGCAGTCCGCCTGCTGTATTTTTTCACCTGAAGACGATTGTGTTGCGAGCAAAACGTCGTGATTTTTATTTATTTTTCTATCAACGTGGCTTTACCGAAAGACCCAAAGAGTATGTGCGTGTTTATTCATTAAAAATCATCCAAATTCAGTGGGCGGATCTTAAAAATTTGGAGGAATTAGCCACCGGAGAAGGGACTGGCTAAAATGCCATCTCCCCAAGAAGTCAGTGAGTGTTTATTCATCGTGCACCCAAGAAGTCAGTGTGTGTTTATTCATCATGCACCCAAGAAGTCAGTGTGTTTATTCATCGTGCACCCAAGAAGTCAGTGTGTTAATTAATCGTGCACCCAAGAAGTCAGTGTGTTTATTCATCATGCACCCAAGAAGTCAGTGTGTGTTTATTCATCGTGCACCCAAGAAGTCAGTGTGTGTTTATTCATCATGCACCCAA